AAAGTGTCCCGTCCCTCCCGCGTTGGCTGCTGATCATCCCCCTCAGTCTGTGTCAGGTCTCCTCCTCTTAAAGACCCCTCAGAGTTCAACGCTGAGTTTTTTTCTCATCCCTGTCACACAAGTGATTAATTCTTTTACTGGACATCTCTTTCACCATGACATCCAAGGACGCTGAGCTCGACGTGGGCCCGGTGACGCCCCCTCTCGGCAATGATCCTGAGAAGGCCTCTGGCAGCAGCGAAGAGATCCCCGATGACTTCCGCGAGAAGGATTTCATGACCCGCAATGGTCTTAACCTGAAGTCTTTCCAGCGTCGTAAGTTTAATCGCCAATACAGCCTGACTCCCCTTGCTGAACGCGACCTCTAGGTGACTATGGCACTGGTGCTGTCGAGCTCGATCGCTCCATGAAGAAGCGCCATCTTCACATGATTGCCATCGGTGGTTCCATTGGTGCTGGTTTCTTCGTCGGTTCTGGTAGTGCCTTCACCAAGGGTGGCCCTGCCTCTGTCTTCCTCTGCTTCACTATCGCTGGTGTCATGATCTTCAACGTCGTGCACGCTCTTGGTGAACTCGCTGTCATGTATCCCGTCTCTGGTGGTTTCTACACGTACTCTACTCGCTTCATCGATCCTTCCTGGGGTTTCGCCATGGGTTGGAACTACGTGAGTTACCCTCGACTGCATAGAGCTGGACGCTTTTGTTAACTGGTCCTAGGTCTTCCAATGGGTCATCGTCTTACCGCTTGAGTTAACCGTCGTCTCATTCACGGTTCAATGGTGGAATAAGGACATCAACGAAGCCGTATGGATCACTGTGTTCTGGCTCATCATCGTCATTGTCAATATCTTTGGAACGCTAGGCTATGCCGAAGAGGAGTTCTGGAGCTCTTGCTTTAAGCTGGCTGCCATCGTCATCTTCATGATCGTCGCCGTGATCCTGATCTGCGGCGGTGGCCCATCCAACGGCAAGTTTGACACGTATCAGGGTGCCAAGTTGTGGTATGATCCAGGCGCATTCCAGAACGGCTTCCGTGGCTTCTGCGGTGTCTTCGTCACTGCTGCCTTCTCGTTCTCCGGTACTGAGCTGGTTGGTCTTGCTGCCGCCGAGTCAAACAACCCGGCCAAGGCCCTTCCCGGCGCTATCAAGCAGGTCTTCTGGCGTATCACTCTGTGAGTACTCAAGCCAAAAGTGGTTCGTGATCCCTGTTAACGTGTGTCAGCTTCTACATCATCGGTCTTACTCTTGTTGGCATGCTGGTTAGCTCCACCGATGACCGTCTCCTCAACAGCAGCAACCCCTACAAGGATGGTACCTCGCCCTTCGTGCTCGCTGCCCAGGACGCTGGCCTCAAGGGTTACGACTCCTTCATGAACCTCGTCATCTGCGTTTCAGTCGTCTCCATCGGTGTTTCATGTGTCTACGGAGGCTCTCGTACTCTGACCGCTCTTGCTGAGCAGGACTACGCGCCCAAGATCTTTACCTATGTTGATAGGTCTGGTCGCCCTCTCGTGTCGGTCTTGTTCAACCTCCTCTGGGGCGGCCTTGCCTATATCGTTCTGGCATCTTCAGGCTCTCTCGTCTTTGACTGGCTCCTGGCCGTCTCTGCTCTTGCTGCCCTGTTCACCTGGGGATCTATCTGCTTCGTACGTTGCTCCTATCGCCGCATTTTGTTCCGTCATGCTAACTGGACATGCCTAGGCTCACATTCGCTTCCGTACTGCTTGGCTTCATCAAGGTCGCTCACTTGATCAGATTCCCTTCCATGCTTGCGGTGGAGTCTATGGATCGTGGCTGGGACTCTTCCTCTGCTTTATCATTCTTGCTGCCCAGATCTTTGTTGCCATCGCACCCCCTGGACAGACTGGCACTGGTACTGCCGAGGACTTTTTCAAGGCCTGCCTTGCCCTCCCAGTTGTCCTTGTCTTCTGGATTGCTGGATTCATCTGGAAGCGAACCGGCTGGCTCACCCTCGATAAGATTGACCTCGACACCGGTCTCCGTGAGCATGACTGGGATAGCATCAACGAGTACCGTGCCAAGGTTGCCTCATGGCCTGCCTGGCGCCGTGCCCTGCACAAGTTTATGTAAGATGGAAGCCAAGCTTCCATCGGCTCTGGCTTTGGTCTTGCCGACACGATCTAGATTGTATTTACCCCTCGTATGCGAGGATTATCTGATAATATCTGTCAATATATATCGCTTTCAATCGCTCCTCAGAGACTTGGCATTAGTGACTACAGACCTGTGACATCTCGTTTCAAGTGGCACGCGGCTAATTTATAATATCTTCGTAAGTCTCGTTCTCACCAACGTCGGTCGGCTCAAGTGGGATAAGTGGCGATAGACCGGCCATCCCACTTCATCCGAGTGGGATCGACGAAATAATCGCAGCATTAATTTGTCATTCCTGGCAGATATTTCAAACTCTCGGAAGGGCGTCTATTACATCCAGGGATTCTAGGTTTGGATATATTAACATCGATCGGCAGGCACACTTCTGATGTGGTACTCTTTATGCTTACACTCCACCACAACATCAACACCAAACAACAAGCCATCATGCTCGACGAGACTTTATTGCACCTTTTCTCTGATGCAGAGGAGAATGGAAGTACCTGGTCTGATGCTGGCTACTTGCAGCATTATCAACGGCACCTATCCCACCTCGAAACTGGATCAAAACTGAGTCTTCTCCAAGAGTTACTTTGCGTTCGATCTCCTGTGCCGCCTCTCCCGGAAGACCTTCTTCAAAAGATCGACTCTATCCTCTTGCGCACTAGGGGTCACCGTATCCTCACACAAACCTCTTCGTTGACTCCATCACGGACGATCAGACACGAGCAAGGCGGAGCCACCAACCTTGTTGTATGGAGAGGAGATATCACCACCTTGACGGGAATTACTGCAATTACCAACGCTGCCAACGGCCAGATGCTTGGATGTTTCCAGCCGACGCATCGCTGCATCGATAATATCATTCACTCGCGGGCAGGTCCTCGTTTGCGAGATGAGTGCTTCCAGCTCATGCAGGATAGGGACAAAGACCTCGGCGCAGGCGAGACGCTTGTCACTCGCGGTTATGATCTGCCTTCACCGTATGTAATTCATACAGTAGGTCCGCAACTCCGACGTGGTGCCTCTCCGACCGAGGTTGAGAGGAGACAGCTCGCTAGATGCTACGAGTCTACCCTTGACGCCCTGGAGCTGCTTCCAGCTGAAGAAGATGGTAGAAAAGCGATTGCACTCTGCTGTATTTCGACGGGACTGTTTGCGTTTCCAGCCAAAGAAGCAGCTGAGATCGCAATCTTGACGGTATTATCGTGGCTCGACAACCATCCATCAACGACAATAACCGACATCATTTTCAACACCTTTACCGAGTCTGACACCGAGATATACTCAAAACTGTTTGAAGCTTTACCCGGAGACTGGACCCCTCTAAGCGAAGAGCCTAAGTCGGCACCGCTTGTTGGATCCTTGGCTTTGGCTCGCGAATGGCTCGACGATGCAGACGCAGTTTTGGTGACTGCGGGTGCTGGACTATCGGCTGCTGAGGGCTTGGACTATCACTCTCGATCCCTGTTTGCGGAGAATTTCCCTGGGTTCCTCAAATATGGGTTGACGTCCCTGTACAGTGTCTTTGGCTATAATGACTGGCCGTCAGAGGAGCATCGATGGGGCTATTTCTTTACTCATCTTAATATGGTATCCAACTGGCCCAAGATGCCTTCTTACCAAGCCCTCATATCACGACTAAACAAGTTTGGTCCCGACGCTCACGTTCGCACTTCCAACGCGGATGGAATGTTCTTGGCCAACGGCTGGTCAGAGCAACAGCTGTCCACTCCTCAGGGCTCTTATGCATACCTACAGTGTTTGGAAAACTGCAGGGTCGAGGCCACAGTTCGATCCGCGCCTCTTGTTGCTGATGCGATGCCACACTTGGACAAGGTTACCCAGAAGTTGATGGACTCGAGCAAGATTCCACGGTGTAAATATTGTGGAGCGAAGATGAGCATTTGCGTTCGGGCGGGCCCATGGTTCAATCAAGCCCCCTTCAAAGAGGGCGAGGTTGCGTGGAAGGCTTGGAAGTCGAGAATTCTTAGGGAAAAGAAGAAGCTGGTGATCCTGGAGCTTGGTGTCGGGATGAACACGCCTGGTGTTTTGCGATGGCCTAACGAGGACCTTGTTTCCAAGGGAAACGGGCTGGTCAAGCTGGTGCGTGTTGGATTAGGACCAGAGGCGGTTGTGTCATGGGACCAAGAGGATGGAGAGCTTAGTACGTATGTGGATGGAGATATTAGCCAGGTCATGCCTTTGTTGGTGGGCGATGCTTAGAGTTTGCTTCGAGTTGCACGCTGTTGGCCGGTTTGCTTGAACGTTTGACCAACCACTTAGAAATTATGTAGAAATAGAACAAGAGAGAATTCGATCGAGTCAAACAATGTCTTTAATCATGGTCACACGTGATGCCTTGGCGAGGTCACACGTCATCTTGGGAGGCTCTAGAGAGGCTCATTTGCCAAGCGTGATGCTGACATGGGTTTCACGGGTTCTCCGGAACGCCCGCGTGGCTGTGCGCCCCGCCGTGATTGTCTGCAGGTGAGTTGCTGGCCACAAAAAGGGCGCACAGCCGCCTTTTCCTTTTCGTAAGAGGCTGGAGATTTTCAACTTGTTCTTTGAGACTGAGGCACAAACAGAAAGAAAAAGTCTACGATGCGCTCAAGTTGACAACAAACAATGGGATTCGAGACCCTTTCTAAACTCGCTGCGGCTGGTGAGGCTGCCTATCACAATCTGTCTAAAAAATGGTGAGTCTTGATTGTCTGTGCTCTACCTAGGCCAAGGCAAACTGACACAGTGGCACCTCAAAGGGAGGACCGAAAAGCGCGATACGCACAAGATGAGCAGGATGCAAAGCTCAGAGAAGAGATTCGCTTGCGAAATGAGTTTCTCAGTCTGGTCACGAGCAAAATGACGGGCGACTCAGCCTACGAGATGGCTCCTCTAAGATGCGACCCTCGTAGCAACCACAAGGCCGTGTTCCTGGTGACGACACCCATCGCGTTTGGAAAGTTTGCGTTGTCCGAGGCAAGCTACAAGCTCTTGGCCAGGCACGTCGGCATGAGCCTCAACAGCGTGAGCCACTGGGCTGTTTGCGTGATCGACAGGGGGCTGGGGAAGGATTACTGCTACGATTTAATGAGCGACCGTCTCGAATTGAGTGCCCTCGGCAAAAACTACTTTCGTGTCGCTGTGATTGCGCCCGAGTTTATTGACACGTGGAGTTCTTGCTATTACATTGGCGAAACTACAAAATCGCATCAGGAGATTCAGGATCTGGGTGAGTCGGAGGATGACCGTGGATGGGTTGCTATGGGCTGCTGACATCCTTTCCAGGACGACATCACATGGAATTGAATCCTCGATATCATTTATTATCTAACAACTGCCAACATTTGGTAGACACCCTCGTTAAAGAACTATGCAACGGCAAGGTCATCAGTCAAGCCAAGTTGGACGAGGAACTATCTCTAGCCTCCCCAAAGATTGCGCGTGATCTGATGATAGCGCGACTAAGATCTAAAATGGACGTGGGAGGTGAGAGCGAGGACAGTCCCTCGGTTAAGGAATACTTGGGGGCATTAAAGAAGAACTGGGGAGATAAGTGATTTGCTTGCAATCGGGAGTTCTCTGGGATTCGTTTCATCTGGAGGCCAATGAAGCTTCTAGAATCGGACTAAAATGGGAGCGTGTTCATTGAGGATAGACTATAGGATCTAGCACTATGTTGCTACCTACTTACTTAATACATGCTTAGACAACAAGATAAGTCGGCGACTCATCGAGTAGGCCGTGGCGATATAACAGAATGTGGGAGATCCGCAGTACTCATGTCCATCATCACTCTCGTGTCTCAATCTCATCTACCTGCACGTCGTCCTTTATCTCCTTCTTCCCAACAAAATTGTCTGTATCAAGTTGTTGGAGGTCCGTGATGTAGGACTGGAACTTCCACGCAGCCAACTTCTTCTCAAATAGCTCATCGAGCTGTTCCAGGCTTCTCCCTCTGGTCTCTGGAATGAAAAAGAAGGTGAAGATGGCCAAAATCAAATTGCTCCCGGCCCAAATGTAGCAGTATTTGGGGCCCCAGTTGAGAGCTTCGGGGTTGATAAAGTAAGGTGTGCAGTAGGCACTCAACCATGAGACGAGAAAACTGGCGCCTTGTGAAAAACCAACTGTCTGTGCCCGGAGTCTTTGGGAGGGTATCTCTGTCTGGAGAGCCCATAGCACAGGACCTTGGCCAAGGCCGTATACCCAGACAAAGACAATGCTTAGCCCTACGAGGACCTTTCCTGCAGAAGGTGACCCAACAGGCGAGACGGTGTAGGCAACCGCCATGCCCAGCATGCACGCCGAGTTCGCCACCGAAGCAGTCATCAGGAGATGTCGGCGATTGAGGAAGCGCACCGCCGGGAAAGACAACAGGTTTCCCGTTATCGCTATCGCTATGGATACCGTCACCCACATGAAGGGGCTACCAATACGAGCCTGGACGAAAAAGTATACCGAAAAGGCTGAGATAAAGTGTACGCCAGTGGCCGCCTGAGCAACAGCGGCTGAGATGCTGAGAAGCGTACGTCGGAGGTCTGTACCGCGGAAGGCGTCCAGCAGGTGTGTCGAGGAGCGCATCTCGGTCTCTTCAAGCCAGGCATTCTTCATAATGGCAATATCATTGCGCAGTTGGGCTTCGTCAGTTATGTGTCGAAGCTTCCGGATAGCTACTTCGGCTTTGTCGTCCTGGTCTTTTGATATATAGTAGCGAGGCGTCTCTGGAAGAAATATCAAGCCGATGGACATCAACGCGGGAATGGCAAACATGACTGCAAGCGGGATCTGATAAGACAGTCGGCTGGCGAGAACTTGAGTAGAGTTGTCGACGACAATGCCCAGCAGCGCCCCGAAGTTGATCTGCATTACCACCATGCCGATGGCTGCACCTCGAAGATATGCTGGGGTTGACTCTCCGATGTAGATTGCCGAGTAGGTGCTGTAGAAACCGTTCGAGAAACCGAGGAGGATACGACCGAAATAGAGCGCAGCGAGACTCGTGCCCCCGATCTGAGCTGCGACCGAAACTGCACCCACCAAGGACGCGATCCATAGGCCGACTCTGGGGCTAATGAAGCTTCCGAACTTGAAGATTGCGATGCAGGCTGCCAAGGCCCCGAGGCTGATCAGACTCTGCAGCAAAGTCTGCACCTTGGTGCTGATGTTGTATCCGATGGGGTTGGCTGGCTAGGTCAGAGGAGGCCGGTCAGTAGCATTCATTTGCAGGCATGGAGACATGGACTTACATCGACATAACCAAAGACGGCCAGAAATCCTGGCATAGACTGGAACCCTGCAATGGCGGCAGAATCGTATCCATATTGGAATTGAGCCAGAGCGATGAAGAGGCAAATTGCAAGCAATCGCTTCTCGCTCCAGAAGGAGTGAAGGTGAGCGTTGGCGGGAGACTGTAACTCCATAGTCGTGAGAACTCAGAGATGGTCGGCAATGCGGTACTATAGGAGAAAGGAGGCAAAGAGGAGTCATACCCGCTATTGGAAGGGTCACCGATTATATCAACCTCGACCGCATGCCCCCTCCCCCGGATCCATTTCCCTAAGAACGCTTCCCCGCAATTGCATCGATCTTGATGCAACGATAGCATGGATCTGATGCCGTTAGTTTAGTGCGGTTGTGAGGCAGGTTAAGCTTTCATCGGAGCCAGTCATCCGACCGAGCTCCAGTTGATGATCTCGGTAATCCCCAAGCCTTTACCGATGTAGCTTGTCTGTATAGAGTATACTGCAGCACTTATAGGGGCAATATCGTGAATATGAAGACCCGAGCTCTGACGCAGCGTATGGAAAACGTGAAAGCGGCACTTGGAAGACTTACGGGTGAACACAACCATTATAAGTCGCGCGCTCCAGCTAGCCAGACTTCATCTCTGTAGTAGAATCGGACGCATGAAATACATGGCACGTATGGGTGTTATCTTAATAAATGCCTGGATAAAGAGGTGAGCAGGGGTGGTCTCGGCACCAATGTTCTCGGAGCCATACGTCCGAACTGTCAGGGTGAAGAGCGAAATGGTCCAATCAACGACAATGAGCTTCTACTACTTCGGGACCATCCGAATGATGAAACTCCGAGTATTGGAACCCCTGGTTGGGGGTAAGTGGATGCTTCAATTAGATACTGATGCTCTTCAGCAGAGCTCAACCGAACATCCACACTTCGCCTGCAGGTGGGACGTTAGCCTTGTAGAACGAGAAAGGCTTGATTTTTCGTTTAATTTATCACCCTGCTACCGTCGTAAATTCACTCTTCTAGACACATACTCCTCGTCATATGCCACACTTCCAAAATGGAGTCCTCCTTAGCTTATGTTTTTCTCATTGCTTGCCTCAGTGCATCATGTTCTCTCTGCACCTTTTGCGAGCTGTTTTGCTCCCCTCGTTGAGGCCTATGTCTGGCTCATTCCTTGCAAGGTATACAAGGCTATGCCTTTTCAAGAAAGGATATCTCAGGACATATCCCAATACGAATATTCAGGCCCATCAGCAATATAGTGGTCATATCTAGTTCCCTCTCCTCGTACCTTCCAAGAACCAGCTAACATATCTGATACAAGTCGGCGTGGTACTATGGGAGTGGTAATCCCACTGACCCGCTACTAAATACGTTCAGTCAGAGACTCCAATGAGGGTTCCCATGATTGGGTCTCACGGTTTTGTTCCAACAGTTTGGCTAAGGCTCGCAAGTTCGGCTCCGTTTCAAGCGACAGGGCGTTTCAAGCGACGGGGTTCTTTGGCACTGAATTCACAAATTGATTCCATTGGAACTATCTTCTCATTCATTATGCACAATCTTTGATGCTTTTGATTTCCTACACATTTGTCAAATTCGCTTTTCCTCTATTTTAGTGCTCCCTCGACAAAGGGTGACCCTTAATTGCCCTATATCACCCTGTAAGAGCTAGACAGGATGCTGAAACCGAGAAGGTATCATGGCCTTTGTTTCACCTGCCCTACGACACATGTGCTTGGCTACCCGGGACTAAACTCCCTCAGCGAAGGAAAGATCACATTTCAGGACGGTTATCAGTTATCAAAGGCGGCGGGCCTAAATTAGTGACTTCAGCTTGCTAAAGCAATATGGCAAACAGTGTATGATTGTCTCAGCCACGCAGCGCTGGGGAGATAAGGACCTTGAAGTGTTTCCCCCCCATCTGACGGAGGTCAGACAACCTTCGTCGCTGGCAATTTATTCTGCCTGTCGATCCTTCGGTCGAACATTAGCGGCTGACAGGTGAAAGAAAATGCCCTAGGGGTGGATCTCGATTAGGGTCTCGAGGCTCAGCACTCAAATACTCAAATACAACCTCGCAGCCATTTATATCGTCCAGAGCTGGGAGACATCGTGTGTGCCAGCAATTGGTATTAACCCGCCAATGGCGAAACTGACATTGAATCCTCTCGACTCATCCTGCGAGTATGGGTCGTGCCCAACCGTGGCGAAGTAAAAATAGGAGGATGGTAGGGTTGTAACGCTCCTTTGGGTAGTCGCCGACTTCTCGAGCTTGACCCAATGAAACTTGGATGCTGTGCCAAATTGGGAGACACCGCTACTCTCTGGCTTACAGTGTGACGTTGCGGGAGAAAGAAGGTCCGTTTCTGACACAGGGCGAGGTGACATTTTCCCGCATTCCTTTCGCCTGCTGAATCGGCTGGCGTCTGGACTGAGCCCTACGAGGCTAGACCACGGCCTTGAATGGACCCCAATTAATAAGGGCAGGGTTCTTAGTGGATTGGCATTCACGCTACGTGAAATGATGGCTGTTTTGCCGCTCGATTAACCTTCCAGACCAGGCTAGTGACACTGGGCCCTGGCTTAATGAAACACCTCTAAGGCAGGACAAGGCAGATTGGCAGAGGAGCTGAAAAAAGATTTCATGCAAAAGTCCGAGGACCCTAGCACTGTTTCGAGACGACGCAGGAGGGGGACAAAATACACGATGCTGAATTGGCTGTGCCCTCACCTCTCTGAGTCTTGGATTTTATGTCCCCTGCTGGGGGAGCCTGGCGGGTAAGCCAAGTCGTGCTACAGGGGCATGTCATTCGGCCAAGACAGGCTCGCTGAGGTTTCATGGCTTTGTTTGCCCTGGCTCGTGTGAGATGACCGTGCTGGACCAATCTCTTCGTATACGGAGCAAATTGGGGGGGACGATCAGCCCCATAAGCATTAATGCGAGATGGGAATAGCTCTGAATGGACCCCTATGCTAATCTTCAGCTTCAAGGCAGCCTTTGTTGAGGTTAAATACTCTGTTGGTCCCCTCGTGGCCTGCAAGCTGCTGCTTGTTGGTTCTCACTCATCGATCCTTGTACCACGAATCCTCTTGATCCTTCTCTCTTGAACACCTCGTCCGTGCCTCTACATTCATCACAATGCGCTTCTACCAACTCCTCGCCGTCGCGACTGCTGTCGCTGCCGCTCCCGCCCCCGAAGGTGGCCTCGACGAGCGTGATCTCCAGGAATGCTACAAGGTCGCCACCTCGATGCTCCCCAAGTTGACCGAGGTCCCTACTCCCGATGCGTCACTCTCTTCGTGGATCGTGCGCCAGACCGACCTCGTCACACAGACCGACGAGTGTGTCATCCCCCACGTTACCGGCGACATGGCCAAGGAGTACAGCTCGTACGCTTCCGAGCTCTCCAGCTGGTACGGCGAGCAGGTCAAGGGTTACTCGAGCCTCCTCGAGGCCTGCAGCGACGTCCCCGAGATCCAGAGCCAGATCGAATCTATTACAGCGGACGCTACCATGTGCAGCTCGATGCGCTGGGCCTCCGAGACTGGCTCTGCCTCGTCTAGCGACAGCAAGGAAAGCGGCAGCGCGTCCAGCGATAGCAAGGACGACGACGACAATGCTGCCAACAGCGCCCCTATCAAGGTCGGCATGGCCGCTGCTGTTGCCGTTGTCGCTGGCGTCTTCGTTGGTATGATCTAGATGGAACTGGGATAACAACGTTTAATGGAAGGAAGTTCTAGCGATTGGCGTCTTGCGGGTGTGCTTTTGCGCTTGGAATGAGACTTGGATATATCTGGAAGGGGTCATTCAATGCAGATTTACTGGCGTACTCAGAGTCAAATGTCATACAAGTGTCTCGCGTATCTCCTTGTGCTTGTGAATTGTGACCCAAAGGAACCCCGATGTGCAACCATTGAGAGTAAGACATTGACTACGATCTCGGCTCTTGGATCTCGGGTACTTGTTTCATGGGAACCTGCGACTTGCAAATGTTGGATGCCACACAGCGGGCTCGGAGACCAAGTGCTGTTGTTGAAGCCCAAGCACCACGATTGACTGCCATCGTATGGCAGCTTCATTCTCTGAACTAAGCAATGCATTACACATATCACGCCCTGCCAATTATACATGAGTAATATACAGCTTAACCATCCAAGCCACCAGTCCACATCAGTCTGACGCTCTCGTAATCTCTCCTTGTCTCACCAAGACCCCTCATTAAGCTCAGGCACTGGGTGGAGTCGGGATAACAAGGCGCGCTCCGTAGAGGCACTCCTTGCTCAAGACTGAGGGCCAAGGTCTGTCGATTTGTCAGCCTGCTGCCATTTTCCCTGCGATGGAACAAATCACATACTCTTTGGATCTTTGGTCGGTTCTTTGAACTCTTTCACTCCTTTCCGGGCGTCATTCCTGCCGTTCTGCTAACAAGCAGGATCAATGCTATACCAAGAGTCTGCCAGCTGGACCGACTGTTAGTGATTGTCTCTCATTATCTCTGGGCACTTACCAGACCGTGATCCAGTATAGATATGAATCAGAAATATGTACTTCAATCAGTCAGAATCACCGATTCCTCCCCGTCATCATTCCAATCCTGACTCGTGTCATCGGTAGACTCCTCGGCTTTGTAGAGCCGCCGCCAAAGCATGGTGCCATTTCCTGGGTCCATGATAACTGCATAGTGCGTCTCATCAACCAGTATGTTGTCGTCTTGTAGAAATCGGAGGATATCACGGAAAGTGATGATTGGATCTTGATGGCCGAACCGTCGTTGGCACTTCTTGACTCGCTTCTTCCAGAGGCTGTCTAGACGATCCTTCCTCTCTAACGAGCAATCGACAAGCGCTGCCATTGCGGTTCCGTCATCTCCCGAGGCTAGGTCTGTAGTAGCTTGTTGGAGCTTGGTGGGATCGTTTTCGTCGTTGCCGTCGTGGTTGAAGGCTGTTAGGAAGGTATCAGAGTCGCGAACAAGTGATTTGCGATCGTCCTTCTCGACAATGTAGACTCTTTCAGGGGTGCAAAATACAAGATAAGCCGCTGTTGATCTGGAGGTGGAAAGGGTCTTCAAAATGTCCTGAATATGGCAGTCTTGGATTTCTGATACTGTCGTGTCGGTGTCGATCTCTTGATGAGTCGGGGTGCCTTCTCCAGGAGTGGGATCTAGTAGCAACCCTCGCAGGACGCTCGAGATGGATCGTCTTTTCCCAAGAATTACCCCGACCTGGTGCATTCTGAAGGAGACTCGCTGTTTCAACGTGTCTCTGCAATGATATGGCCGAAAGTTCAAGCCCATGCTAAGACCCTTTCTGACGCCTGTCAGAACTCCAACATAGCCGAGATAGGTGACTGTAGTTGCAATAACGGGGCCTCCGGGTTTCCGCACAAAGTCAAGTTCAACGATGATTTGCCTGAGAAGATCCATACCCCAGTCGAGAGTTCGGAAGTGGAGCATACGGCTTGATTGCTGGTCTGGACCATCGGCCAGGTTCAAGGTGCGTACGCCGCCGCTGGTGCATCCTAGCAATATATCTAGAAGAACATTGAAGGCGACTAGGGCATGCATGGGAACGTCCATGGCCTTGGATATCCCCTTCAACTCGGCATTCTCCTCTGGCATGTACACTCGGCGCAGAATACGCGGGGATACAGAAGCCATGAATTTCCCAAAAGACTGGCCGAGCAGTTCTTTGAGAAGGTCGTTGAAAACGGTGTTTATGTTGCATGAGATGTCGGAGCCTTGGAAATGAGGCACGATATGTGCATAGCGCTCCTCTGGCGGTTGCGAGAGGTCAACCACGAACCTGGGGATCTCGGCGGCTGTAGACATTTTCTGAAAGAGGCGGCGACAAACATGAGGCTGAAGCGTGTGGAAGGCTGATGCCTGGAGGTGTGCGTAGGTAAGATGTAAGACTTTGGAGTTGCCAGCTCACGAAGCATTTGCGTATGCAGATTACCTAATCTTGCATGAATGCAAACTGGATTGATTGTTATTGAACAAATGCTCCGAGGCTATTGTCAGTGCAAACCAGTGCGCCGATAGGCTGGTGAGCTCTTTTTCCGTTTGTTTTCGTTTGTGCCGGTTTTGGTAAAATGACGTTTGCCTTGATGTCTCTATCCCCACGCACAATGGAACAACAGTCATTGGGCCATACCTATTAATAGGTATGCATGTATCTCTTTTTACAACGGCAACCTTATTGCGAACCGGCCAATGGTAATAGACGGCACATTCGATCATTGTTTACTGCTGAAATGCTTTGAGAAAAGATAGTGAATGCCCTTACAGGAGTATCACCACATTGATGGCATCGGGCAACGCACACTACCTACGAGGAGAGCGGCTAATCATCGTTTATTTTATGCCAGACCCCTGTAGCGAAGTAGGCAAGCTGAGAAATGCTTGTCAGCTGAACCCCAAAGTGCAGCTGGCATGGGTGATCTGCCACACAGGTAGCGATTGGCCAAGCCATGACAGCAAGGCAGACAGAGCACAAGTAGAAAATTCACAAAGCGCTGGCAGTGCATGTACACATGTGGATACCGGAATCTTTCCTCAGTCTCAAGATTGGCTATTTGCTTTCATGGTGTAGGGGTACCAAGAGAGGACAACCATGTACTTATATTTCTCCCCTCCCCATCAACTTGCCGCGGAGCCTGATCTCGTTCATTCCCTTTTTCTCTGCAAATTTAATTACGCTATTCAGGCAGAATTCTAGCGGTTAGAAAAAAAGGCTGTCACCATTGACAAGTTACAACCTCACTAACCCTTTTCCAAGAAACAAAGATGTATCTCCTTCACTGCAGGCGGGACAAATCCTCCGATAACCTGTCGATATCGCTCGAGTCATGCACTGGAAGCATCCCAAAGTACGCGATCCTCTCCCATCGATGGGCCGCAAACCCCCAAGACGAAGTCACGTTTGAAGACATGACCATGCGCATTGAGGCAGCAAGGGAGAAGAGTGGCTTCAAAAAGATTATAGGATGTTGTGCTCAGGCTTTGCGAGACGGTCTTCATTGGGTGTGGATCGACACTTGCTGCATCGACAAGAGAAACAGTGCAGAGCTTTCCGAGGCCATCAACTCGATGTATAGCTGGTATGAGAAGTCTGAGATATGCTACGCATACTTGGAGGATGTCTACGGCCTGGCAGAGGACGAAGAGGAATTCAGAAAAAGCAGCTGGTTCACGAGGGGATGGACCCTGCAGGAGCTCATTGCTCCAGCCGAGGTGGAATTCTTCACTAACAACTGGGTCAAGGTCGGGACCAAGTCAGGTTTGGCCTCTACTCTCGAGAAAATCACAAGGGTAGCTAAATCCGCCCTCGTCAATGGCGTACACGCATACAAGGCCAGCGTTGCAGAAAAGATGTCTTGGGGGGCGCATAGGAAAACAACTAGGGCCGAAGACCAGGCATACTCGCTGATGGGGATTTTCGGAGTCAACATGCCAACTCTGTATGGTGAGGGCCATCGCGCCTTCGCAAGGCTCCAGCACGAAATCATGCGGATATCCCACGACCACAGTATTTTCGCCTGGCAGAGGAAAAGCCTAACGGCCGGGTTATTGGCGCAGTCGCCAGATGAGTTTGCCCACTCCTCTGCTTGTTGCCCCGCCCACTACCAGACATTCGTCGAGACCTTCAACATTTCAAAGGCGAAACCCGACTTCGTCATTACAAACTTTGGGCTGCAAATCCAACTGCCGCTGGTGCCCATACCAGAATTCGACGGGTACTACGTTGCCTATCTGGCATGCACTGCTTCTGACCAGAGAAAGAAGCCCGATTGGGACGCGGTTGTCAAATTCACGTACTATGGATATGAGTACGAAGATGACGAGTGGATTGCGATATTCTTGCATCGTCAGCCGGGAGGATTCCCTGGGCAATTCACCCGAACGAGTTTCCAGAACCACATGCTTGGACGCGGCATCATTCCTAGTGTGGAATACAAATCAGAGCCCATTTGGGTGTCGTTGAATGACGATATCTCTCCCCTCCTATGGAAGCCTTCCGGGAAACAGATTTCCCCTTTCCTACAACTGCCAGCTCCCAGACCAGATCGCGACAACATAATGACTGTCATTATGGAACAACAATTTCGGCACATGACCATTCTAAGCGTATGTCCAAATGAGGCGTTCTCCGGTGCCAACGAGATCTCGCTAAAAGAATCTGGCGGCCCTCGCGAATCGCTCGCAGTCATGGTCGTTCAAAACGAAAGGGGAAAGGACCGCATGATGGTCGCCCTCTGGGGAGCTGATGGTACACTTGTTGCTGGTTATGGCACGGTGCTTGAAAGTGACAACGCTGCTACATTGTACAGCAAATTTTTGACTACAGGCTGTACGTTTAGCACAGGCGTGATCGCGATGCCAGGTGGCAAAGCGGGAGAAATTTCCAGCACCCAGTTCGGCTTTTTTGTATCATTGGGATGTGTGGGAGCACTGACGTTCCGCTTCGTTCTTGGGCCTGGTAGGTATGATGGAGGAATCATTTCTAATAGAGGGGGATACGTAGCTACTGGACCATGTACCATAACCAAGAACCAGGAGAGTAGGCTGGACCTGAGGTAGTAAGCGTAGGTCTAGGGCTTGAGTGCATATCGTGTAAATCCAAAGATAATTTGCTATGACTCTAACCTGTTACTAGGAAACTATGGGATGCGATCTGGGACCTATAAGCTTTCGCAAGATCGTAAACTACCTCAAAAGCTATGAATTGCAACATGGCTGTATTCCACCTGAAATTAAAGGGAGCTGTCCAAACTAGTAGCCAACTTAGAGACAGTAAATTGAGAGAGTCTACAGATCGTGGCAAAGTTAAAGGTGTAGGAAGAAAGCAAAGGAAGCATGGGTTTGAGAACTTGTGGACGAGAGTGTAGTTCTGACATTGCGTGACAAAGGCTGAGCTGAATTCCAAACTGCCACTTCTTTTACGTCTTGGGATGTATCCACTCAGCAATTAATAGTTACATGACGAGAATGTGTACCCCAGCCATAAGCAATGTCCATCTTTCATCGGGCTTCCTGGACCAAATCTTTCGGAGAGCCTCGAGCCCCGAGACCAAGTTAGAGAACCCGCTCCTCATGTAGTGTCTCATAAAAACATGCTCAAAGAATTTCATATGCTCATCAAGAAGGCAGCTAGACGCAGCCACAAAGGATGCCCAGACCATCACCTGCTCTCCAGGTGCTTCCAAGGGGAAGGCTTCCAATGTTTCCTTGAAGTGTTCGACCCGGGTAATGGAATCAGCAATATCGAGGGCCGAAGGTGCATCTAAATGTGATGAAGTGAGGTACATATTGATCGCTTGCTGAACGAGGTCGATGATAAATGCGAATGAGGCGCTGTGTTCTGGGTACACCGATACGTGGTGGGTTAAGGAGTTAAAAAGACGAGTAGCATGCTCCTGTGATGAGACAACTTCGAGGCCAGATTCCTCGCTGAGGAGCGGTGCAGCATAGAGGCGTAATCTGTTAGACCCTTATTAGTGAGCCGTCCCTAAGCTATCAGAGATATAGACTTACTTGGCTACTTCTGGCAAGATGAAGCCAGCAACCTCACCGCCCCCAAGTGCCTCACATCCCCCCATGGCAGCAAGCGCTGACTCAAGCATGCGAAATAGTATGGGGAAATCCGAACGGCCAGTTACCATGACACAGACGTGAAGGACGAGGATGGTGATCAAGATAGAGTGTTTACGCTCGGCACTGCAGCTTGCAAGTTCAGGCTGTTGCTGTAGACCCGAGATGACGCGTCTGTACAACTGGTTTGGATCTGGAGCTTGGAGACTCACTCTCGCCATGTCGCCAGGAGAGTTGAATCCAGTGGCAGGTCTTCTGTTTAGCCAGATGTGAAAAGCAGAAACCGTAAGTACTGCGTCGAAGACCAGCCTGTCACCCCTGGCGAAGGGGAGAACCAAATGTCTCCATCCGTTGTGAGTCCCGTCGATGGCAGTCATTTCGCCTGCAATATGATGCGAAACTAAAAAAATATGAATGAGTAGGTATCTGCAGCAGGAAGCAAAACATACTTACAATGCAGACACAGATCATTGTGCCAGCGTGGTAAATGGTCCGGCATTGGCCGGTAAAGAGTGTTGTGGCCGATAAGATTCGCCCAGGTATCGTCCTCGATCCGGAGCAGCTCGTCTGCAGATCGGTTGGGCACTTCTTGTTTATCCAATGAATCTAGTAAGGCAAGAGACCATTCGTCCACAGTGGTTACGCAGTCGTCAAGGCTCAAATGGGTTTCGGTCAGTCCGACTTGAGGTACTAGACCATTGGGTTCGCTCGTTGCTTCATTTCCCGCCAAGCGGACATCATCTTGGCAATATGTAGTTGCTATTGTAGAGCTTGCTTTGGTCACTGAGTTGTGCACTGGTGACCCGGCATCCTCTTGTCTGATTCGACTGTAATGTTAGCTCGGGATCACAGCATCGGGCATGGGGGCCTGACTGTTGGGGGTGGCACCCGAAGCTGAAACGCAGCCTGATGCCGAGTCCTGTGCATTTCAAGCCCCTTGACTTGCACTTGTTGCAATGAGGCTCTGTTTTATCACAGTGAATGCGGCGCCGTGAGCACGGGTAACAACCTAGAATTCTACCTTCAGCCAAGGGGAAGAGGAATTATCTATGCAGTGACAACGAACCTTTTGTCTTAGGGACATATGGACGTTTCTTGGGCGGCATGGGTTGGAAATCTGATGATTGGACTTTCCAATGGCCAAAGCGGTGTCGGACTGTCTGCAATATGGTAGAGGAGCCTGCTCAAGGTCAGGGGCTGGGCGTTGACGAGCCTTGGCAGCTAACTGTCTTACTGGGTTGAAAATGATCCACTGTCTTGCTGGATTTGCGACGAGAAGAAGATGAGAAGAGGATCCGAGTACAGGGACAGGCTGAGACGGGCGTTCAGTGACCTGGCGTCCAGGTGGGGGGGCAAGTTTCAGCACGAGTCAGGCTACTCGCGACCCGCGATTGTACAGCCCAACAGCGCACTGTACAGAGTACCAGATTGCTAAAGATGAGATATTGTACTGTTTCTTCCGAATAATTTCACGTCGATGACTACGTCGAGGTCAAGGAACGGTTCTTTGCCCCTGTCAAGGGGAGGAATTGTCGTCAGTATCGGTGCCACCCCGCATGCTTATCATGAACCACGCATCAGGTGGGATGGCCAGCTAAGCCAAGAAGGGAAAGAAAGTGAGAACACAGATAAGTTGTTACTAACAAAATCGGTAACAAAATGAGAACACCTTTCTAGCAACCAATGATATTGTAGCTATCGGTTATTCTACCTTGGAACTAGCCGTCGACAAAATTGTCCCTGAGCCGTCAGAGATACTGATGGTAGGGCGCCATCCCGAAGATCCGAATGCACTTCCCAGCGTTTTTGGTAGCTGGGGAAGCCGGAGCTGAGTGATATGATGCCGGGGTATCAAGTCGTGACCATGATCCTATGGTGGATGGTTTCCCTTTGTGTATTTTGGAAACTTCATCAGGCTGAAGATTCCCAGCTCGAAACCTGATCTGGCTGTCCGGCTCTCTCGTCTTCATCTGTTCTACCTTTGCTCTTTCGCTGCACGTCGGTGTCTCGAGAGTCACCATGGCCACTAGTAAGCCCATTGAAGACAATGACCCAAAGATCGAGAATACCTCCATGGGCCCCCCTTGACTCTCTCTTATGACACGGTCCGCAGAGTACCCTGAGATCATTCCAAGCCAGAAGGTCACCGAGGTAGCTATTAATATAACTTGAGCAGGTAGAGAGGTTTTTAGGAGACAAACGCCCAGAGTTGCCGCCGTAGTAGGCAATAGATAGAACCACATAGCGTTAACTGCACTGACGCGCCGTTTTCTGTCTTTGCATTCTCCTTATCCTGTGGGCCGGGCCGCGTATTACACGGCGGTTCCATAGGTAATTAATTTTAAAACGCCATAGCCCAACACACTATTGCCATTAGCCTCACGCCAGTGGTGAATAGTCCAACACGGCGGTCCCCATTCAGAAAAGTGTCTGCTCCCCACCAGAAGCTGAAAAATGCATGGTTTACAGCAGACGACAGTAAATAAAAGCAAGGTCTCTCGTCTGGAACAACCCCATCCAGATCTTCGCCTTCGTTCCTTTGGGTGGCTGTCTGGGCCCCTTCCGCTCTTTTCAACTGCTGGCTATTCCCGGGTTCCTCTCACTCGCTCTGTTCGAAATGGCTCGTTCTATCTTGGCCGCGGCCACCGTCGTTTTCCTCGTCTTTGGAGCTAACGCCACTCCTTGCCGACCTGCGAGTGCTGCGACTTCATCTACCACTCTAGTGGAGAGTTCTTCGACCGTGATTGCGGAAACATCTTCATCGACCACCATCGCAGAAACCTCGTCAACCGCTGTCGTGGAGACTTCTACCCACTAGTAGAGAGCTCATCGGTGACGGCGTCGTCCTCGACCCTGGCAGAAACCTCATCATCGACTACCCTGGCTGAGACTCCAACAACTACACTTGCGGAAACGTCGACGACTTCTCAAGCTCCGGTCTGCACCGCAACCCAAGCGCTCGGTGACCCGAGCTTCGAGGACGAAGTATCCCCGTGGACTGGTGTCTTTGCCTCTAGGTCTGAGGAAGACCCTCATACGGGTCGCTATAATCTGTATGTCATCCCTTCTAGAGTCGCAGAGGTAGTATTAGCTGACATAGCTGTGATTTACCAGGCGATACTCGTTCGATCCCTGGAGTAACCCTTCTACTATCTCTCAGACCTTGACTAACCTCGAGGGTAACTACGAAATCGAATTTTACTACCGTGCTGTCAGCTGGGTTCCATGGACTGGAAGTGCTTTTACCGACTTCTATTGCGTTATCACGCCCAAGGTTGGAGACACTGAGCTTCAGGAAACATCGTTTACGGACTCAGGCCCTTACACTTGGACCGCGGGTAGTGCACTTTGGACGAATCCGAGCGAGACTGGGACTGTAGCTGAGGTTGAGGTATCGCTCGAGATCATTTGCACGGGAGAATTCGATTCGAATATTATCGCTCTTGATGATGTTACCTTCACTCGAGTTTGCGACACGCCCCCAGCTTAGGCTAGTATGGGTGGTTTGGGTTGTTGGGTAGTTAATGCTTGACCCTTATTCAAAAAGCGAGTGTTCATCTACCTATCAAAATTTGAGAAGCGACTTGAACAGGTACATTGCGTCGTTTCTCATCTCACGGCCGTACCCTACAAATTCTACATGCTTTTGCGTTGAATATAGTCTCTACCCATACCAGTCCTCTATCTGAGACAGTAGTTCTAAGCTGGTCTGGCATCGAAGTAATGAGGACAATTGATCACTCCGTGCGATCAATGTCGACACTCCCATGTATCTACACTTCCAATGGGGCTTCTGCAGCGCTGTGATCTCTCACCAAAGGTTAGGGGACCAAAGAGCTGGTAATCACCGATTTCGGAGAATGGCAAAGATGTGCAGAGACCATATGGACCACATTGTGACGATAACATGAGATATTCCTTCGTCCCCGCGCCCCAATCATACTGTCGGCTACAGATAAAGCCGCTACTGTACTTCTGCATCTCACAGGCGAAACTTGAAAGTCCATAGGTCCAGATTATTCTACTGACGTTGCCTTTCCCGCGGCGTGATCTTGAACTGCGGGGAGGGTGGCATCTCTTGGACTAGTCTCATGCAAGATTGAGAACATGGCGTTTGCCTCCTATCGGCGCTAAACCCAAGAGATTCTTCCTCTGGGCTCATCGGACGCAAGTCGGAGACCTGAGGGGAAGAAGAGAGCATAAATGAGAACAGGATGTACATGGCCGATTCTTATTTATTCCAATGAAATGACACCAACCGGATGGAGGCGTCTACACGCCAATTGCTTCCCCAATCCCTTTAAACACTTTGGTTCAGCCACTTGTCCGTTATCAAGAGCCTTTCGTCGAGTGACTTATCATAGCAAAGATGGCAGCCTTCGACCTTGCCTCAATCCTTCCTCAACTAGGACTCTGTTTGATACTTGCAACTCTCTTACTCGCCTTGAATAGAAGATTGGTGAGTTTTGCCTTGTAACAGTTCAGACTGGAGTTTGGCTAATCAACTCCCAGCGGCACCGAGGTGACAATCTGCCTCATCACAACAAAACCGATGCGTATCAAGGGTCAGAAAAGCCTTACTCTGGTGCAGAACTGGTGCAGCCACTCAACGACTTTGACTGGACTGTTCAACAGCCTCAAAAGTTCCGGCCTTTCAAGTCAATCTATCACATTACTATGGGTAAGTAACAGTCTCAAAGCATACAGATGCGCTGCTGACAATATTGCCTTGCATAGCAATCAAGTCAGACACGGCGTCGGAGCTCATCACGATAGACCGCGATTACCTCGATCGAATTCAGCTCCGAAAGAGCCTCATCCAAACCCAAGGCCAAATGGTACACGGATGTGTTCCTGCTGGAGTCGATGCTGTGGACGAACTCTACACTTATCTTGTTGCGCAGTATCTGCCCAAGCGCTACCCAACCATGTTCAAGTTGTCTGCGGACGACTCCAAGCTGGAGAATTTGGTGACTGGTGATGCACACTCCACGACACCTCCAGTTGACCACGATACTGCCCTACGAATCATGGGCACCACAGTCGAGGAAGACTTGTTTATCCTGAAGCCTACACCGGAAGGCCACCAATGCGTTGCCTTCGTGTGCTGCTTTCCATCTGGCTGGAATCCAGCCTCAAAATTGGGAAAGCACATGGGTCAGATACACTTCAATGTTCCATCCTACAACAAAATTGGGCCTAGCATGGAGCGCTTCTTCACGAAGCTTGAGGTGGGAAAGAATGTCAAGCGAACCAACGTATGTCACCCTCACAGCCCTTTCGATGCACGTGGACTGACCGTTGAGCTCAACAGTGGACCGTCCAGACCCATGGGGAGCTTTTCAACGCCAAGGGGAACCATGTGACGGGAGAGGAAAAGGTAGAAAGTGAGCAGATAGATCCAGAAAAGGTACTGTTCTTCTCGCTTATGCCGCATTGCATCTGGCTAACAAGTCCAATAGACTTATCTTCGGATCGAATTGCAAACATTGAGCCGGCTGCCAAGAACTCACTCAATCCTCTTTAGTTTCAAGACATATCTGTATCCGTTACGCGAGATCAAAGAGGAAGGTCTCGGGGAGGAATTTGCGACCGCGATCGAGGGTCTTGAGAAGGGAAATGCACCAGGGATGTGGAAATACAAGGGGGCGGTTCGATGGGGTGCCAGCGTGTGTGAGTATCTTCGGTCTTGAGATGAGGTTGGGTGGAAAATCTCTCTTTGTTTTCGACTATCTCTTTTGGTCCGAGGTCTTTACTACCTGTTCCATGCATGATCAGATGATGTCACATCATTACCATTGCATGCACTCGTTTCACCTGGCGAAATAGTCCGTCCGTATTATCCCCTGCTGCTTTCCTCCTCTAGGACTGGTCACAGCCGTACCCAATTTCCCAAATAGATGCACTGCATTCCCGTATTCTCAGTGCTCTGATAGTGATGCTATCGGGTCGGGACGTGATTCCGAGAATGAATATCGGAGGTTCGATGTCGGAGACCTCTCCCGACGATACCATCAGAGAGGGGATTGGGGCGGATAAGAGAAGTCTCAGCCGATTTAAAAGGTCCCGGATCATGAACCTTGCATTGCGTGCGGGGAAGCCCTCAAAGCGTTGATGGATCTACGCATCCAACCCCAGAATGATTAGTTACGGGACAGGGGGCAGCCGGACACTTCAGATTCACCCGCGAGCAGGCCATTGACACCTGAATGGGTTGTGATAACAAGGGTAAAGTTCAGAAACACTTGAACTGGTCATGATTCATTGCGAACTGCCTGATTGATGTTAGGCTAATTACCAGGGAGAAGCCCATGATTCTCTTGCTATATAAATACTACTGTTGCCACTGGTGGTTTGGGTGAGATGAAGACCAAGGCAACTTAACTTTCTACAAATTTTCAGTATGAAGTTTAATTCCTTTATAACTAGTCTGTTGTGTGTCGGTGCAGCACCATCTTTGGGTGCTGTTCTTCGTCCACGGCAGGCACCCGGTGAAGCCGAGGGAGTCACCACTATCAAGAGTCCCTCGGGTGCCCAGATTCGATACAAAGAGCCCGGAAAGGACGGAATCTGCGAGACAACCCCTGGAGTTAACTCTTATAGCGGTTATATCGACATTGCCCCCGATGTCCACGTCTTCTTTTGGTTCTTCGAATCTCGCAGGGACCCTGCGAACGATCCAGTAAGTTGGGCAGTTCTTACATAGCCTTGTCAGGACTGATCATATGCCTAGGTAACTTTATGGCTCAACGGAGGGCCAGGTTCGGATTCCCTGATTGGTCTCTTCGAAGAGATCGGACCCTGCGAGGTGGTGGAAAACATGACCACCGTTCTCAGGGACCACTCCTGGACGGACATCTCTAATGTTCTTTTCCTCTCACAGCCCGTGGGAACAGGTAATGCTTAGCTCAAGTTGCTATGGAGAGATGTATTAACACACCAATGCTAGGATTTTCCTACAGCAAGGCTGAAGTCGGTTATCTTGATCCCACGTACCTCTCCATCGACAAGGAGCCTGGAAGCCGCGACGAGAAGGAGGGTCGCTGGTCTGTCATTGACCCTACTAAAGAGGACACCAGCCGCCTGGCCGCAATCACTTGCTGGGAGGTCCTTCAGGGCTTCTACAGCGCACTGCCGCAGCTCAGTGAATCCAAGATCGCATCAACGGAATTTCACCTCTGGTAAGAGCACCCCCAAGCCCGATTCAATGAATGGCATTCTGATCCTATTCATCTAGGGCGGAATCGTTTGGTGGTCATTGGGGTCCCGCGTTCTTCACATACTTCAATGAGCAGAATGAGAAGCTCGACAAGGATACGACAAAGGGCCGCAAGCTCGAGATGAAGAGTCTTGGTATCGTCAACGGTATCGTGGAGCCGGTAGTGCAGACTCGTCACCTTCTGGAGTTCACTCGTGGCGAACACAACGGCTACGGTGTCGATCTCGTCAATGACACCATCTACAACTATGGCAAGTTTAGCCGCGATCGTCCTGGAGGTTGCCAAGAGCAGCTTGACTACTGCGCCTGGCTTGAAAAAGACTCCATCGTCAAGCGTTCGGCCTGTTCTGCAGCCCAATTCATTTGCCAAACTGACGTCGAGGGGATGTTTTACACATTTAACCTTGAAGGCCGTGGCACATACGATATTGTTTGTTCATGCCCCGATTATTGTTTCACGGGACTAACAAGGTCCAGCGTTTCCGCAACGGAGAAGATGTTCCTCCAAACTTCTGGCGGGTAAGTTCTTTCTACTCGAGAATGAATTGATCGTTAATATTGTTGCCAGCCCTTCTTGAACACTGCACCCGTTCAGGACGCCCTGGGTGTCAACCTCAACTACACATCAAGCAATTTGCTTTACACCGCCTTTACCTTGTCGGGTGACTTTGCGATTGGCTACCTGAAAGACATTGAAAAGCTTCTTGAAATGGATGTTCAAGTGGCGCTGGTTTTCGGCGACGCCGATTACATCTGCAACTGGCGTGGCGGTGAGGCACTTTCACTGGCAGCCAAATGGTCTGGAGCAGATGATTTCAGCGACGCTGGCTATACCAACTTGATGGTTAATGGCAAGGCTTATGGAGAGACGAGACAGTTTGGCAAGCTCAGCTTCACTCGTGTCTGGAACGCTGGCCATGAAATTCCATGTAAGCTCAATCCTATTCCCCCCCCAAGTCTGACGACCTCTAACAATCACTAAAGACTTCCAACCTGCGGCATCATTCCAAATCTTCAATCGAACCACCAACCGATTCGATATTGCCACTGGTGAAATCGAAATCACTTCCAACAGCACCCACAAGACCAACGGAACGGCCAAGGCAACTCACACGACCACCCTTCCCCCTCTGTCTAAGAAAACTTCTGAGTAAGGGGTTTGTAAGTCGCATTTGGCAATAGAGGCATAAACGCCAAGACTATGTCGGTCGGCTATTGAGACGCCGACTCGGGCCTCGACCCTACCGCGCCTCATGTTTCACCCTTGTCATGGCCAGGTTTGAGAGCTGTTCTTTATCATGCGCGGGTTCTCAGTGTCCTTTTCATGCCATGGTTACCCGCGCCAAGTCCCGTTCTATTCGTACACCATCTTCTTGTAGATAGACTTGCCTCAATCAATACAGAGCAGCCATTTTTCCCAATGTAGACTGCGAGCTACGTCCCGACTCAGTGCGAGCCTTCTATGTTCTTATACTCATCACACCATAATTGACACGCCTTTTCATCATACTCAGGAGAAGGATTTGGTTAAGCAAAAGCGCCAACCACCGACATTCCGAATGCTTGTTACTTGGTCAGAATGGAGCGGAACATAAACCAACGACTGGGCAACTTACCTCCCAGGAAGACCCAGGCAAATGCCGCAATCTTGTCCTTCTTTGTCATGAGCAGGTTTGCCTCCTCTGAGAGGAAATCCTCGACCATCAAGTTGACCAAGGCGGCATAAATCAACAGGCCGGAAGAACTGTTTGCGTTAGTGGTGGGAAGTGAAACGGATCTCGACTTAATACTCACATGGCGTTGAACACTCCAACCATGATTAGACCAAGCTCACTCTCGGGGTCGTAACTGTTCCTGCTGAGGATTCCGATGGCTTGTCCAATGGGGGCTGTAGTTCCAAAAGCAAAAACTAACAACCAAGGACGGACACTACCTCGAGGGTAAGGGACAGCGGCGATGCGAGATCCGAGGCCAAGGCCTTCAAACATTTGGTGGAACATAATGGCAGTCAACAAGACGACGAGACCATCTGTAGTCATGGCGATGGTTATTCCAACAAAGACGGAGTGGAATAGAATGCCACCTTCGAGAAGCGTGATGTTGGTCGACATTTTCTTGTAAACTGCCGGGTCAACCTCTTGACCTTCCTGGTCAAAGTGGGATTTGGTGATCTCGGAGGTGATTTGTTCGTCAAAGTTGGCTGATGAGATCTTTCGCGTATGCTGGATCATCTCCATCATCTCGGCTCGCTGGCGGACGTATTGCTCGTAAAAGACAACAAACCACGCAGGCATGGTGGAGTAGCTTTCGTCGTCGTCTGAAGGGCGTCCATACGGTTGGGCATTCTTCTCATAGAACTTTTGGGCCATAGCTTTCTCGTGTGAAATGTCAACATTGGTCTCGGTGCGCTGGTCATCTCCCCAATATGACGAAGTAGCTGTGTCGTGTGACGCGGTTGAAGGCTTATGGGCGTGGGTTTGAGCGTGAGTGTGAGCGTGAGCATGAGTGTTGGGCGGATGAGTCGAGGTGTCAAATGAAGCACCTGTAGGACCACCATGCGAGTGGCCACCTGTCTTTGCATTGAGATACAGCTCAACAATGAAGAGAAGAAACATGGCTGCCATCATGATCACTCCCGGCAAGGCGGGATAAACCTCAGTGAACAGCGGGGGTAGACATGGGTTGGTGAGGCTTCCGAAAGCAGTAGGGAGCAACTGGTCATGTCAGAGAAAGTCGTAGTTTGATAGTGCCGTCGACAAAAACCTACATGAACAAAAGCAGTAGCAACCAGAACTCCGGTTCCGAAATGCTTGCAGGCAAAGAAGACGCTGGGGGGGATCTTCAACCAAGGCAACTTCTTGGCGGCAACGGGAAATCCAGCGCCTATATCGGAGCATTAGAGATGCTCGCCACTGAGAAAAATTTGATGACATACCAAGGCAGGAGACAGATAGAACCAAAACTTTGTATCATCGTCAGCGTTAGAGCTCAGTTGGTATCAGGTGAAGGCTTACATAAACCCGCGACATGTAGACCAAGGTTATAACCCTCAGGGCCACCTTCGGTCTGACTCCCACACTGCGGCCTTTCCGACGCTTCGGATTCAGGCCCCATGGTGAATTATGAAAATCGGTAAAGGAAAAGGAATCGTGCGAGTGCTGAAGAGGAACCGGCCTGACAGCGAAGCCGAGGAGACCCAAACAATGGAAACGAGACACCTTGAGCCGAAACAGATCCAAACAACCCACAATAACAAAAGGAAACAATGAAATGAAGGTTAAAACAATGGGGTAAAAAGGTATTTGGGTGCCAGCCCAGAATGTCGAAGAGAAGTGAAGATATCAGCAAGTCGACGGCTTGGCTCCCCGTTATAACTGTCCATAGTCCATAGTCCATAGTCTATAGTCAATAGCTACTATTTTTAAGCTTGTGTGGATAAGGTTGCCTGTAACATTTGGCGCGTCAACCCGAAACGTGGTTTCGAGACGGGGAGTATACGATCAACAATTGTTATCGTGTTTCAACGCGTGCGGATCTCAGGTCGTCGCCGCTTCAGAGTACGACGATCCCCCCCCCTTACCCCAGCCTCGGCACTTTTTAGGCTTTTTATAATCCGATTGGCCCTAAGGTTAGATGGAACCTTTGACGGATCTTTCTGGTCCCTTGGCTTTGAGTTTGGATGGTTGCACCCGCTGCCCAAATCTGTAGATCTGAACCCCTGCTGTCACAGAATGCATCCGTGCCGCGTCACGGCTAGATCCACCCAGGGTTATTTTGAGATGACGATTCAGTCTCGGAACAGAAGTTTCCGGCAAGGCCCAGCCTTTAGCGTGTCAACAAAGTGCCTATAGCTTCAAATACAAATACTCAATCACACTCTACCCATGCTATTTGTCATTCACCCCGTGTGGTGATGTTCAGTGCGGGTTTCAGTCCTTGTCAGATAATGTTGAATTGTGTATAATTGATGGAAGGTGCCATTGGAGAGGAACTTTTTGACGGCCATTGTCCTGTTTTACTAAAGACTTGGCATGTCTTATTTCGTGCACAATCTTCTTCTGACTTTTATGCTGCGCTTTCGACTCAACCCCTTCCGTTGTGATATCATGGGAATCCTCTCCCGCGCCATCCGATCAAAAGACGGACTGTTGGGGAGGCCAAGGAGCACAAGGGTTTCCCCATGGGTCTAGACCCAGATCTGACCAGACATGTTCATTTATCAGGCTCGGTGGGAATCTGACATGCTTAAGAGACCAGCCTCGCTTAATAATCCTTGAAGTCTTCATTGTTTGTTGGGGCGCTAGCAACCGTTGGCGCGCTCTAAAGATCTGCTCAGAACCTAGCCATAACTCCAGCTGAAGTTCTCCAGATTGCCCATTCTCTTACTGTTTCAGTACCCATCCTTGTATCAAGATGGCTCAAGATCCGCCGTTCAAAGTGGTCATTGTTGGCGCTAGTGTGGCGGGACTCTCCCTCGCCAACATGCTTCAGGCAAATGACATCGACTTTGTTATCTTGGAAGCATACCCAAACATCGCTCCTCAAGTTGGAGCAAGTATAGGGTTGCTGCCTCATGGAAACCGGATCCTAGACCAATTGGGACTTTATGAGAAGATCCTGCAAGTAGCGGAGCCTGTCAACACGTTTTCGTTTCGTGCGCCGTCTGGGTTACCGCTGGCATCATATCCTGGCATGGACCGTAACCTGATTGACCGGTAACAATACTCTTTGATGATATTTATAGAGATTAACGCGGGTCCTAACTGATCTGCCTCAGACACGGATATCCGATGATGTTTCTTGATCGTCAAACGTTGATACAGACTCTTTACGACAACATCAGGGACAAGTCAAAAATCTTGGCGAACAAACGTGTCACAACGGTCAATCTTGGCAAAAACGGTGTGACGGTATTGGCATCGGATACTTCGACGTTTCAGGGTGACATCCTCATCGGCGCCGATGGTATCCACAGTACAGTCCGGGGGGAGATGAGGAGACTCGCCAACATGACTCATCCTGGTTGGTTTGACGCAGGCGAGGAGGAAGGTGAGTGTTGAAACCTCGGGAAGAAGATTGGTGCTAATAATAATACCTTATGGAACAGACCTTCCTTGCGAGTACAACTGCATCTTTGGCATTTCACGACCATGCCAAGGAATCGTGCCTGGTGGTTTGCACGAGGTGTTTCGCAACGGGTCATCCTACCTGATATCTGGTGGCCAAAATGGACGAGTGTATTGGTTTCGGTTTGAGAAGCTACCCCAGAGGCTCCATGGTACACAAATCCCACGCTACACCCAGAAAGACCTCGAGGAAGCGCTTGATCGGGCCTCGAATGATCCAATCCTACCCGGCTTGAATTTTTCTGAGTTGATTGAGAACCGAATCACTGCAGTTTTGACTCCCCTGCCTGAATATGTCTACAAGAAGTGGCATTTTGACAGGATCTTCACTCTCGGAGATTCTGCGCATAAGGTAGAAAGCCAATCTTCCTGAAAAGCAATATTGAGGCGACTGACGAGTTTCTAGATGCATCCAATTGGAGGTCATGGAGGCAATGCGGCGATTGAGACTGCTGCTGCACTAACAAACTCCTTGGTCGACGGGCTGAGCAAGACCTCTTCCCCTCTGACCACCACTGATATTGCGGCCCTTTTCAACCAGGTTCAAACACTTCGATACCCTAGGGCGATGACGATCAAGGCGTATTCACGCAAGAAACAGCTAACCGAGTCACTTGACAACTCACTGCAAAGATTCGTCGCCTTTCACCTTCTTCCACGAGTCAGGGAGCAAGATGTCACACGCAGTTACTCAGCTCAAATACCAGGTAGTGAAAAGCTGGACATGTTGCCATTGCCATACCGAATGAAGCTCGTGCCATATAAGGACGAGTTGGTGGCCAAGCCAAAAGGAAGAGGAATGGCTCGGTTCATGATACTTGGAATTTACTTGACATGCAGCGCCTTCGCCTTTTATCTCAGATGGCTGAGTCCTTCGGCAACAGAGCTTGGAAACCAGATCAACAAAGTCCTAGTCGAGGGATCTTTTGAAGATGATTCCTTGACTCTCTTACAGAGGGCACGTACTGGAATCCTCTTGATTGGCGATCGTGTGGCTTTCATGGCTGCGGCGTTGGTGCCTGGACTAAGCAACCCAACAAAACAACTTGGTCGCATTCAGCTCTACTCTCTGAGCCAATCGCTCCATCCAACCATTATCTTGACGCTTGAAGGCTTCCGAGGACACTTTGCAGTCTCGGTTTTAACATGGTACGTCTTGATTCGGCTCTAAATGTCTTCTTCACTAATGAATTGAAGGCCGGTTATTTGGTTCGCTGCCTTCCAACTCATTGGCTTTTCTGTGGTTATGCCATGGTACTGCATTATCCACACATTTGTGCCCGATGATGAAAGCATATGGTGGCCTCTCGGACGGCAAGTCCCTACTCGATCTGCGAGAGGCGTGCTCTTGGCTGGCTTATATGGCTACGCATTGCCACTCATGCTGACACCCAGTCCCTGGCATCAAGTGGCAACTTCTGCAGTTGCCTGGCAATTCATTCCAATTCTGATACCCTTGCTCTCTTTCGTTTTTCGAACAGGGAGGCGCTCTGAGGGAGTCAAAGGCACAAGCAAGCAAGGAGAGCCATTGCCTGACGTTCGGTACTTGCGGAAAATCTATCTTCTTTTTGCATGTTTCGGTGCCGTTATACACTGGCAAACCTTGCTGCAGATGGTCATGGATGCGGAACGAAGCCAACTATTCAGGTGGCTGCACCCATCATCTTGGTGGGAGATTCCAGGCGAGCTCGAAGAGAACCTGATGGGATTCTTTGGTGTTGAGTTTTGGGGCTACTGCTTGACATCGTACGTTTGGTGCGTGTCTGCTGTCTGGGACTTGCAACGAGTTGGCCTTGCGCGAATCAACACTGCAAGGGCAGCCATTGCAATTCTTCTTGCCTACCTTGCTGTTGGGCCCGGGGCGGCAATGGCTTTGGTGTGGTATTTTCGAGAAGATGCATTGGCCTTTTCGCAATGAGAACTCTGTCCGTCGGATGTGCCCCTATGCATATTCAGGTACACGACGAGCTCTTGGGCGGGTAACTATCGAATGGGAGCAGTCCCTTCGTGACTCATGCGGTGTTGAGCGATGATATTTGCGGTGGTCTCGCCTCCAACAGATGCAACCTCGTTCAAATGAATCGGCCGATTCGCTATGCACCGACAACTGATTTGCCGCATGTGGAAGTCGCCGGCTGCCAGGCTGTTACGCTAATCTTAAAAAGCCCCTGACCCTTGCTGCTGTGCCTCATAGCTAGAATAAACAACCCATATTTCGCCACACCTCGCCCGGGCGATCGATGGTGGCTTTTCTCAATGCGTTCTGGTGGATGGCCGAGGCAGAATGGCAGTGAAGGATCTTCATGTTACTAGTTACGGAGTTAAATCCTTCGCTTGATGTCATGTCACGTTGATTTAAACCTCTTTTGTGCAGGACAAAATGAATCGTCTGTTGGGTGCCCGCCCGACAAGGCTTGGGCTCTCATTCTGGAACGCGTGATCCAGTCAGCCCCGTTGCCAAGAACAAATGCGTTGGCTGCTATTCGACAATTCACGACCAGGCTAACTGGCCAAGCCTTGGGAATCCTACCGCCAAGAAGGATCCTCCAACAGGCTGAATCGCAATGGATGTTGGGCGGAATACTTAAGTAGCCTCGCATCCCGTCAATTAGGGGTTCTTCATAATACCCAACAACTCTTCATTTTATCTGCGTCAACAAACCCTTTTTGTTAGCAAGACTTTCTCAAGTTTATCTCGTCAATAAACTCAACAAACACCTTTCAACATGCAGACCAAGAACTTGGCCATCCTGGCCGCCGTGGCCGCTTCAGCTGCCACCGAACAAGTCCAACACGTCGATGTCATCCACGTCGTTGAGACCCTCCACGTCTCCAACTCCCAGATCCTCCACGTCAGCCCCAACAAGCGCTCCCTCGACGTCCTCTTCCGCCGCGCCGACGCAGCTGAATGCAGAAGCTCCGCCCGCTCTTTGCTCCTCAGCGCGCCCACCGCAGCCCCTGAGGTCGAGTCATGGGCCCTCAGAGCTCCTTCCTCCACCGACCCCTGCACCCTCGTCGCCCCATCATCTATTTCGGATGCTCTGATTGAGTATCTGACTGAGGTCGCCGAGTGGGCGATCGAGAAGGAGGATGACGCCCAGGAGATTGTCGACAAGTGTAACCTCGAGGGCGATGGCAACGCTCTCGATGCTTGCTCTACTCCCGGTACTCTCTTCTTCACTTCTGCCAACCAGACAAAGACAGTTCCTCTCGAGCCCATACTGGAGTCGATTTCGGCGACTCCAGGATCAGGATCAGGATCATCGGGCGATAACGGCAATGCGGCTGCTCCTCGTGGTGCGGGTCTGACTGCTGTCGTTGCGGTCGCGATGGGTGCTGTTGGCTTCCTTGGATTTCTGTAGTTTAGCTTGATATCTTTGAGTGCGATAATATACGATACCCGGAGCCGAGATAATATACTCCTAGTTTTTTAGCCTGTCTTCCAAAGTTCATGTAGTCCACGAATTGGGTCAAGGCCTATCGCATCGAGGTCAAATTCTTCTACATCGAGCTCTTCACATCTATAACCTCGGGGGCACATAGCGTTGACCTTCGACTTAAGACTGGCCCTTGTGTCGGGAAGTGGACGGTTGCGGCTCCACGCACCCGGTACTCACCGCGGCTAGTGATCTTTGACAGCGACGCCACAAGGCAACGGTTTGTTCAAGGTTCGAAATAGACTATTGACAGCCAGGGGGATGCACCATCTGCTTGTCACCCGTGTGGGGGACCAATTAGTTGAACCCTGTCTTCCCCGGAATCTCCTCCACATCCCACACGAACATCTTTCCATTGATACGTCTTGACGAATCGACTCGCTAAATTAAGGTTTCGTATTAGCTTGAGATATCTAGCCGTAAAGTACCACGGATGTCACAGTCAACTGTAGCGGGATGTGGCCAGACCAGCTTGGCATCCTCGGCTCCACATCCCAAACACAATAACAAGACAGCAGGCGCAGTATTATAAAGTCTTAATTATGACTTGCTGATACAATATTGCTATATGTGAGGCAGGTTTCAGAAAAATAAACTCACCCAACATTGTATGACTGAATGTCTTCGATATCATTCACCTTATTTCCTACTAACATCTACGTGTATCTCGTCTTTTCTTATACTCCTCCTTCAATCAAACATATAGGTTAGAAAGTATTACATCATACAAAATTTACCAAGACGTGAGAAATACCCTTCACGCCTTTGCTCATGTCAAGTTAAAATGTCAGAACAAATCACGTTTGAAGGCATGTTTTTCACTACCTACACAGCTCTCAGCACATGGTTATACTAACCAGCAATCAATGTAGACTTTCAAGGAGTTGAAGCTGCCCTTTACGAATGGGCCGATAGCTATGACACTAAAGACTGGGCAAGATTGCGCAAGATCGTCGCGCCTGAGTTACGAGTTAGCCACTTAACCCCCTACCTTGTCTTCACTGTACTAACACTAGCCCTTGCAGATTGACTATCGATCATTTCTGAACAAGATTTGGGAGAATATGGCGGCTGAAGAGTACGTCGGTATGATGTCAAATCCCGCGATGTTAGGCAACCCGACTCTCAAGACACAACATTTCATCGGGGCGAGTCGCTACGAGCGGGTTTCAGACACGGAAATCATACAGTGGGTCTCAAAAAGTAACGACACATTCCGGGTTTCCCCGCTGTATCAGTACCACCACCAAATGAGACTACATCTTCAGCGCCTTATTGCGCAGCCAAATGAGGGCCAGTTGCATCGTATTCTATATCAATCTATAGATAATTGAGAGCTGCATCTTTTGGTGTATCTAATACTTAGTATACTAGCCGTGGGCGCGCACAACAGCCTGTATTCTTCGCTTTATTGAGTTGACTAGGTTATTAATGACTTCCGGCTTAATCTCTTCCCATAGCTCGATCGCAGCTGCAATAAGAGCCTGCTTTGCTTTGTCGGTCTTGGGCATATATGTGAGCTCTGGATATCGCTTGTAAATCCTCTCTTTGAGGATTGCCCATAGGTTTTCTATGGGGTTGAGATCCGGGCTATAAGGCGGCCAGTCTACTACCTCGGCCCTTCGACTCTTATACTACTTATAGATCTAGTCTCGTACGATGTGGGCTGTAAATGTGCTGGCGTTGTTATGTTGGAAGTAACTATTCCTTGTCATAATCCGGGGAAGGTATCGCTGCAAGTATGCGAGGATAATCTGCGCAGTTACTCCGCCGCGAGGGCTTTCTGGATCGCCGGCCAGGGGGACCATCGGGAGGCGCCTGCGATGATTGAAAGCGCTGAAGAATATCTGTGAGTGCCTTGTCGGTCGTATGCGTGTCTGAATATTCCGTCTGAAGAGTCTCTCGTGCTAGAAATAGTCAGAAAAGTCGCAGTTATGAGAAGAATATATACCGGTTTATAGAAGACCTACGTACGCCTCTGGCCCTCTCCTCGAGCGATGATAACCTCATCAGAGAAGGTCTATTTCTCCCAAAAGTCCTCAGCCATATGAATATACCGCCGTGTAAAGCGTAGATGCTTTCTGGCGTTGGCTTCACTAAGGAAAGGTCGAAGAAGAGACTTATAATGTATGATTCCTTCTTTTCGTAGGTATGAGATTAAAGTCGCCCTATAGCAGCTTAACCCAGCTTCCTCAATCAATTCACGTATCTGAAGATGAGGATCTTGGGCAATAACCCTCAAAATTCTCCTTCTTTCCCTCTCTCTAATGATGCGCGGCCGGCCGGACTTGGGTTGGTCCGCGGCACTCTCTTGGTCGCGATATCTTCGTACCACACCGTAAATTGCATGTCGAGAGACGCCCTTTTCCCGCGCGATCTGGGCGGCCGATACGCCCGAATTGTATCTCCAAACAATCCTCGTTCGCGTATGAGGAGAATGATGTCTTTTTGGGGCCATTTGGACGTAAATTGACTGCGTGATGAACGATTGAAGTTGGTGATGATTTTGGTGGAGGTAGAAGTAAAAGCGGGGTACGGGAAAATGTGTCGTTACTTTTTGAGACCCACTGTAGGTCACCATCAGTTGCGCGTGCCTCATCAGATTTACGAGGACACCACACTTTCAAAAGTTTTGGTCAAGGGCCACGCTCACAGCTACAACAAACATTGGTATAAGAAGGTTGATGGCTAATGGAAATTCGCAGGGCTCGCACCCGAATTACGGTGGTCGGAGTATGATTTTGACAAGGTGGTTGCCGAGGGTCGTAAACATGCCCAGAAGGATTAGCGGTCATCCGATGCGGAGTTTATAAGAAATACTCCATGGTTATTAGCGGTGTCTATCCCGTAGATGGACAGCGAAGAAGAGGAGAAATTAACAATCGCATTGGCTGAGAGCCAGAGTCTAATTTTGCTTGGTGCGCTAATGTTTGGTCGCCTTCGGCTAGCAATTGACCCCGCTTTGGGCCAATCTTGAACCTGTTATCGTCACTTGCCTTCGTTCTTTATCATAACAAATCTCGAGCAACAGCCAGTCTGCCAGCACCTCACGATGAAGAGACAACGGCCGGCGCTCAACCAAGGTCTGCAATGTCTACCCAATATTTATAACAGTTTAGATGAGAAGCTTACAGTGTCAGGTTGTTACACATGCGAAAGACGACGCATCCTTTGTGATCGTGCATTGCCGAGTTGCCTTAAATGCACGAAAAAGGGCTTGGTCTGCCCGGGATATGGCCAACGGTTGCGATGGGCCGGCGGCGCTGCTATCCGTGGACGTCTAGCCCAAGCCGAGGAGACGAATGCCGATGATTCCGGATCTTCATCTACAACGATTGGTAACGAAATCTGGACCAGCGCATCCTCGTTTCACTCAATCAGCAAGAAAACACTGCACAAGCTCATCGATCACTGGGATAAGCAAATAGCACGCTTAATGGTATGGGTTGACTCGGATGAGAACCCTTATCGGCGCTATGTTACCCCAATGGCATACAGACATCCTGTCGTCGGGTTAGCCATGGCCGCTGTCTCCTCGCAGCATGCTTCCATCTCGCTTGAAGATGACAGCTTTTCTGAAAAGGCCCGCAACGAGGCCATTGGTATGATATCGGCCTACGTCAAAAACATTACCAGTCATGTTATGAGCGGACGCGAGCTTTATAACCAATTGGACGAATGGGCTGTTGAATGGGTTTTGTCGGCCATGCTCCTGCTTTCATGCTACGAAATGGCAGACTCTGGTTCTGCCGCGGCAGACTTTCATCGACGAGCTGCGAGATCACTCATTAATACGTTCGAGACGACAGGTCGTAGCGAGAGTTTGTTGCTCAACTTCCTGAGGAATCAGTTATCTGTACACGACATCTTTGCTTGCACCACATCATTTGACCTATCTTCGATGCAGCAAGTGATCCTACCTCGCACAGCGGACGACTCAATCCTATTCTCAACTTACCTCAGGTATCTGCACGATGTCACGCTGCTATCCCGTCAAGTTGAGCCTTCAACTGCTCGATTGGCCAGGCTGGGGCTGACTTTTGGTCATCTTCGGACACAGTTTGAGGTCGCCCGAGGAGAGACACTCATGACAGCGGGCCGTCTCGCTCTGCAGCCTACTTCCCGACGTCGAGATTTTATCTGTGTTGTGAACATACACTACTATGCTGCCCTATTGTACTCTGCGAGGTGCTTGGAGATATGCATCGAAGATCAACGGAAGGAATTGATGGATGGCCTGTTCGATCAAATTTCAGCAATGAGCGCCATTGACGAGTGGCTGCACTGTCTGCCGTGGTCGCTCTTTATCGCTGGAGTGGAGAGTCACGAAGATGATGCCAGGCAAGGGATTATCTCGGATCTTTACAGTCGGATATGCCGGATAATGCGATTTAAGAACTTCTGGGACGTCGCGCAGTTCTTGCAGGTATTCTGGGCAGCAAATGAGAGGGACTGGCGAGACCTGGCTCGGAAGTGGGAATTATCAGGACAGCCGGTGTTGCTACCCTGAGCTTGGCGCCAATTCTTGCGCTAGAGAAATGGCCGTGTCGAACGACTACGACCGGGAGTCAATTCAATGCCTGAATCGAGTCCTCACTTGAACAAAAGAAAGTCTGATATCATTAACAAGACCACGGATAATTTATCGCACCTCGGAAAAAGTACCAGATGTGATGCCCTAGAGTTACGTAAAGAAAATTCTTCCAAGTTGACAATCCCGAGGTCCGACGTTATCCATCACGAATCTAATCGCCTGCCAATCAGGATAGAGTAGATGACCCAACAGAAGGTTGTTAGTTCCATCTCCAGATCTATACCCAAACAGGAAGTCATCTGGAGATGAGAGAGTTGACTCCTCACAGGTTGTGTAAAAACTTGAGAGCAACCCAAATATATAAGGCGCGACTAATGGCGAATTTAGCAAAGATGCAAACTCAGACTGTTTTGTATCCTCAGAACTTGATTGCACAATCATGTTTTTGTTGTCAATCCCCGCACTCTCAATTGCCATTGCGGTATGTGCACTTTTCTATGTCTGGAAATGCGTCTCATCGCCCTTGTGGGCAGCCCCTGGCCCGTTCCTCTCTCGCTTCACGCCATTCATGTTGAGATGGAACGAGTTTAACGCCAACCGGACCCTGTACATCCACTCTCTCCATCTGAAGTACGGGCCTATCGTCCGTATTGCGCCCAATGAAATGTCATTCTCATCGTATGAAGCTGTCAAGGAGATTTACGGTTCCAAGGGCAGCGGCTACGACAAGTCCACATTTTATGATCTCTTCACGGTATTTGGACGCAGGTAAGTAGTGGAGCGAACCCGTGCATGACACTGTGCTAATAACTCAAAGAACATTGTTCTCGACACTTGATAAAACCGCTGTTAGTCCTCTATATACTCGACAAGTACGGTGATAGCTGACGGCCAATAGCATGCGAAGCGAAAGCGTCTCCTAGCCGATAGGTATGCAAACAGCAACGTTCTCAAGCCGGCCTCCCTCAACGGAATCGAGAACCGAGCCCGAGAATTTGCGAGACAGTGTGGCGATTCAACTGGAAGCAGTGTTGATGTATATGTACATATTCCGCTGGCCACTCTGTGATTTTTGCTGACGTTGGCCAGATCAAACTTCACGCGTTCGCTTGCGATGGGGTCACTCATCATCTGTTCCAGCCGTACGGTACTGATTGCCTGGGAAACCCTGGTGATCGAGAAATGATGGATCAAGTCAATGCCGATGATAGTCTTCGAAGTAAGTTCACCATCATCCGTACAAGACCATGATCTGACAACCTAGGCCGCCTCTTCATGTTGTATACGCCAACTCTCTACAAGTATTCGTCCAAGATTCTGGACTGCTTCTTTGAGCCACGAGCCACGCCACTGGCAGATAACTTTGTCACCAAAAGAAGCAAACTTGATGACCCTGAAGAATTTACTCTCCTAAGTCGCCTCAGGAGCAAGCTTGGTGACGAATTGGCCGAGGGTGACATCGCTTCAGAATGTCTTGACCACATGGTTGCTGGCATTGACACCACGGGCGATGTTCTGTGTTTCTTGATCTGGGAACTATCCCAGCCTCGCTCAGCTCAGTTCCAGGATGAACTTCGAAGAGAACTAAAGGGGAATCCTGATATGGCGTTTGACAAGCTCCCAGTTCTTGACTCGATCGTGCAAGAGGGCTTGCGCTGCTTTCCCGCCATTCCCATGTCTTTGCCACGCGTCGTTCCAAAGGACGGAAGGGTCATCGACGACATATTCGTCCCTGAAGATACCATCGTTAGCAGCCAGGCATACTCGGTCCAGCGACACCATGCGCATGTGTTTCCAGAGCCTGATCGATTCAACCCTCACCGGTGGATGTCGAACGAGAACGATGCGGAGATGAGGCGCCATATCTTTGCCTTCTCCTATGGTGGACGAGGCTGTATCGGAAAACAGTGAGTTCTTTCCAACCATGTGCTTGCACTTGCTCACACAGTCTTAGTTTGGCATATGCTGAGATGAAGCTTCTGCTAAGGGAGGTGTATTCTCAATACCAGACAGTTCCTGATCCTTCCATGACTGAGGAGTCAATGAGGGCACATGATCAGATCATTTCGGCTAGGCCTTTTGGTCAGAAGTGCTTGCTCCGCTTTGTGCCGACTGCTGCATAATTCAGTGGTGAGCAGAAGGGAAGGTTGTAAGAAAGACACGTCGAGCACAGAATAAAAAGTCACAGGCATAGGAGTAGTATCAGGTAGAGTAGTTAAAAGGATAGTTTCCAAAATACTTTCGGCATCTAGATAGCCAAAAGAAACACCATGAGCTGGCTACGCCGCTAGCTTTCACTCACTCCCCGGCGCATCACTGAACCACTTTCTTTACGTCATCTTAGCCGCCCACCTTTGTCTTGAAGTGCTAGTGATACTGTCCCATGACTCTGCACCCTTGGAGGCTTCCATCTGCTTTTATCACCCAGTGGCCGAAGGCAAACAGCGCCCCATCCCCTTCATGGAGACATGTCATCTGCACCTCTGAAGCTTGTAACATTCCCCATGCACCGATGGCTTCATTCAAGATCCGTCTGACTCAACTAAGCTTGCAATTCAATTGTCGCACTTTTCAGGCAATGGTCAGACACAAACGTGCGACATAACTATGTCTCATTTGACCCAAGATGGAAGGATATCTCTTATATTGATACCTTTCTTGGATGGTCAACGTATAACTCCAATAACCCCTTTAATGTACAATATCTCAAGAGACTTAAATCCCAAGAGCCAGGAAGGGTGTTTCGCTGATGATATGCTACTCGAAGCTTGGTGGAAAAGGGTTGCTTCACGAGTAACCCTCAACGCACCATCCTTGAATCATGGTCGCCTATTCGGTAATACTGTCGCTGTGGATAACCTCCTTCTCGGGCTCCTTGGTGTTGCCCATTTCGCGGAAGTAAGCCTCGTCGCGCTCCTTACGGCTGATGTAACCTGGTGGCGTCCAGTTTGAGCTGTTCCAAGCCTTCAAGTCTGGAAGGCTGTACATCAGGTCGATGTGTTCGAGACTCAGAGTCTTGGACTCGTAGAGGAAGCACCAGGTGATGATGGCAGCGATGAAGTTCATTCCAGCAAAGACGTATCCGAAGGAGTAAGAGATGCCGTCGTCAGCGAAGGGGGTGAGGAAACTGATGAGGACTATTTGGAGTTAGCATTGCACTTGTAGTTTAGTACCTTGCACTTACAGTTTCCGAGCCAGTTACTGGCGGTCGCAAGAGACGCTTGCTTGGCACGAGTTCGGAGAGGGAACAGTTCTCCAACGACAACCCAACCCAAGGGGCCCCAGCTGAGGGCGAAGGATGCAATAAACATGCAGGCCGAAACAATCATGGCCTTTCCAACAGCGCTGTTTCCCTCTGGATTGATCGCTGTACCGACAGAGGCGAAAACGATAAGCCAGGCTGTCTGCCACAGAGCACCCAAGAAGAGTGGCCATCTACGACCCACCCGTTCCGTAATGTAGATACCGGGAATGGTCATGCCGACGTTGACAGCGCCCAGGATCAGTTGAACCAGGATTGGATCATCAATACCGGCAGATTGGAAAATGGTGGCTCCGTAGTACTAAAATAGCCGTTAGATGGATGATGCGATGCAGGTCATTGTCCAAGGGTGCTCACGAAGAAGTAGTTGACGCCAGTCCACTGTTGGAGGAACTGAACGGCCATGCCAAGGAGGGTTCGGTACACAACCTTGGGGGTCTCGTTGCGTGGGTCGACACACTCCAGCCAGGTACCTTGACCAGCTCTGCGTTCCTCTTCCAGGAGCATTCTCATCTCGCTGAGATTATCCTCGACCAATGGGTTCTTGGGATCGTCCTTCATGCCGCGAAGTCGTGCGAGAGAAAGTCGTGACCCTTCCCAGTCATCTCTCATGGCCAGCCATCTAGGTGACTCTGGAGCCACGAGAATGCCAAGACCGAGAGGAAGAGAGAAAGCCATCTCAATGCCGATGATCACACGCCAAGAAGCATCTGTTTCCTGGATCTCGCGGACTCCATAGTTGACAAGGTTGGAAACAAGGATGCCCAGACTAATCATGAGCTGGTAAGATGCAACCACAGCACCACGGATCTCTCGTGGAGAACACTCGCTCTGGAACATTGGCACGCCGATGGACAGGGCGCCAACGCCGAAACCAGCAACCAGTCGACCGATGGTCATATGCACCCAGGAATGCATTGCCGTGATTTGAAGCGTGTTGCCGATAAGGAAGACAACAACGGCAATGCTCAAGCTCTTTCTCCGACCATACCAGTCGGCTGTACTAAAGAGGGAAAACCTGTTAGTCCACAGTCCCATCCAAGAAGCCTGCGTGGAGGGGTCAACTTACTATGAACCCAACAAGGCACCAATCAGACAACCAATACTCATGAGCGAGACCAGAAGCGACTTGATGATGGACACCCAAGCGATGGTACCATCATCGTGCTTCTGGGCAAACCGGTTGGTGAAATCCTCAAACAGGAGCATTCCTGAGATCTGACCAGTATCATAGCCAAAGAGAAAGCCTCCGATGGAGGTGATCAAGGCCAAGAGCAGAGCCTCGGCTCCACAATCGGCCCCATTGATCTTGATGGAACTAGGGAGTAGTTAGTCGCCACTAGTTTTAGTTGTAGGGCTGAAGAGGTGTGGGATATTACATTTGTCCGAGCATGTTTCGTTCACTGGAGGTGTTGATGGCAGTGAAGATGATGAGATGTTCCGGATTCTTTCTCAACTGACGAGGCAAGTCTGTTCTTTTATCGCTACGAAAAAGCTTTGAGCAGTTTTCTAGAATGGATCCATCCATCGCCAGCACAGCACAGAGCACCTTCGTCTCGAGTCTGAAGCAGTGACCATCCCACGCCATGCCCTGTCACGAACGCTGCCATAATCGGCACTTCTCACTCGAGGCCCCCCGTCCTATCGGGGCAAAAGGCTAAATGGAATTTGCCCATTTAGCCGCCAAACGACCCAGGGTGGATTAGTCGGAAGGGCCGACGCGACAGGAGGGAAAACGCCGAGCACGCCGAGAAGCTGAACCCTGCGCTGGATTTAGCCATTGGCAGACATGACCATGCCACGATATGTGGAGAATCACGTCGTGGGATTCCTGGTCATTTACCATGGTCGGCAGAATACCATGGCCTTGCAAAAGCACGGTGTCATCTGGAGTGACCGTGCAACGTCCAGTGACCGAAAGCCCACCGAAAATCGTCAAGGTCAACAACGGGCCTTTTCTCACCGGCCTCCTTATTTCCGGCTCCTCGACACGGTTCCGGCCGTCATGGCACCAGTCTCCAGTCGAACTTACGTGGCTTTGACAGATGATCGGCCTCGCTTGTTCACGTTATGCTTCTATGGTAAGCCTGATTGCTCTGTTTACCGTCTGGGGATATAGGCACCAAACTATGCTTACCTACCACGTTACGTTGGAAGCTCCCGGGTAGTTGAAGGATTCTGTTCATCTGATCGCGGCATTTGTATTGTCCGCTATCGTTTCCCACCGCCTTTTCATCATGTCTAAGTTATCTAGTGATTCCAGGTAGCGGGGTTGCACTATAGTTCAATGTCCTCATCTCCGGCGTCTTCGTGCAAAATTCTCAACCATCCCTCTTGAGAACAACTCAAAACATTAGACCCAGGGGATGATGCAGTTATGAAGCCCAACAGCCACCTTCCGGGTGGTAACAACATGCATGTATGAATGCTTAGATATCCATGAACGATGCACGATTCATGAGACGTCGTTGTTGAGCCGCCCCTGACGTCGTCATGCCGTTTTTGCCGCTGTGAGGCTGGAACGCCACTCCCGCTCTTAGGCCACGAATTGTGAGGCTTACGGGGCGGGAAGAGATAAGCGGCCCCTCATCTCCATCAAGTGTCGGAACCAATCGGGATGTTCTGTGGCCAGGGTCTGAACCCTTGTAAAAACGGGTGTTATTTCGGTGCTGTCAGGCCCTACTTCGGCTCCGGTGAAAAACCCTGGCTTCCATGGACAGTAACAGAAACACATGAAACCTGGGCATAATGGTAATATATAGAAGCCAACCCCGTACTTTGGAGAAGGGCCTACTCTCAGTACAGGGGATTTATGCCAATAGGTATGCTTACCGCCCCAGACTACAACGTTGGACCTTCGCTCCACAACTAATAGTGGACTTGACTTCCCCTTGGGCTTTTCCCCAAGCACAAAGAGCTGTGCGGGTCAAGGCTTTGTGATTAATATCTTCAGTTGCTTATGCCAACCCCATCCTTGCTCACACTGAGACATGTATATGTCTATTGCATCTCTTGATTTGGTCAGAGTCCGGCTTTTGATGGGATAGCTGAGCCAGAGGACCAAGATGAATGTCTCGTCTTCAGGCAATAATTCCAAGTCCAGCAACACGGTGACGTCACCTTCGTATGCTGGCCATACGGCAAAGGTGAGAACGCGTTGCGATGTTTTGTGTTGATAAGCCATCACCTTTTATTCATGAATTTGTATTGAGTGCAGAAGAACGAAATGAAAGGTGGTCAACCTCATGGGCTCTGGCGACACGATTCATGAATGCCCTAGCATTTCCGGCCAAACTGCGTGACCTTTTTTACTCTGACAGGCGCCCATTCGCAACTTCAGGCCACACATCTAGCTTCTGGCGTCCGTCTACAACATGATTTCCGAGGCAATGATTGCTATAAATGACGTCTTTAAAAGAAGCTATTCAACGTGATACAAAAGAGCCCAGTACTTAACACGTGATGACCTAAAACCCAATGCTACGTGTAAAAAGTCCTCGCAAGAGTATAAAATACTTCTTAAAATTCTTCAGTAGATTTTTACTAATTCATAGAAAGTCAACGCATAGGCATCAGTGAAGGCATAGGATGAGATAGCACTTAGGGTTCTTGCTCCCCTGGACCTTGTGATAATTGTATCGTGAGTGTGGGCACCGTTCTTGAGTGGTTGACAGCTAGGTATTCTGGATCATCGTTTTGCTTTTGTCGCAAACTGACCAAAGAAGTCTCGCACTCAAGGCCCTTCAAGTTGAGTGCGATACGCAGACGTCCGGAACAGTCTGAGATTGGTGAAGAGTAGAGGGTAGTCTTGGTTGCCATCGCCTCGCGCTGTTTTGTGGGATAGAGGCCGCAGACGGTCAGGAGACTACCCAAGTATGAGGGAGCAGCGGTCTTATCACGATGGGTTGTAATCAAAGTCCGGATCGCCAGGGCCGGTCTCAAGGCCGCGTGTCATGACAACCGGAGGGTTTGGACGGACATTATTGGCAAGGAGGATATTGGGGATCTTGAACGGCATCATTCGGCAATGACAACGGATAACGGACACTTGGGCCCAATCGGCAGCTCTCAAAGTCACCGACGCTATTTTCGCTCGTCGTTAGACTCTTCGTAGAGACGGCTAGCCTGCCTATAGAACCAATTTCAGTCTGATTACACTGTTTATCTTCTGGAATATTTATGCCAACCCGCCCACCGCTCCTGATTTGAACAGACATCGTCGGTAAGACTAGCAGTATTTCCGACACCAGCTCGACATTGGTTCGCTACAGGATAAGGCACAAGGAGCAATTATATCTCACAGCAGATATTTAATTGTGTTTCCCTATGACTGAATTAACACCTCCAATTATTGCCAATCTTGTATCAGGCGCCACCAGAGGTCAGTACTCGCCAGGCCAAGGCCAAACCCTGCCCCAGTCACAGATCTCGTGCTCAGGACTCGGTGACGTCCCTGGCATCTTCAAAAGAAGTCATCAATCACAATAACAAACACCACAAGTAACAGATGTTGGCACTCAGCCCGATGCTGGGCACCACTGTATATCATAGACCTCTTCGGGTTCTAGGCGTTGTCCCCGCCCCCTCTGGGCTCCATTTTCTCCCTGGGGAGGAAGATAGCAAGCTTGTGCCTGATAGAGCGTTGGTCTTGACCATGCTGGGGTGGATTGACGTGGTAAGAACCCGAGTCTGTGCTTCGCGGCCAAATCTTTTCCCAACCAGTTTCTTTCCAAGTGGACTTGAGGCGTGCAATGGCGCGTTTAGGAGAAGGCGCTGTGAAGCTGATCAAAATCGCAAGGGCAATAGCTGCCACACTGACACCTTCACCGATAGCTATGAAAGATGTTAGTTGTCTGATCATGACAAGCTGAAGAGGTAGTTGATGCAGTGGAGCGTGGAAGTTGGCCGTCCATCAGGATCCTGAAACTTGTTTGATCGGATGAGAGGCTGGCACTCACCCATACGGTTGGTAAACCATTTCTCTTCAACTCTGATTTCACCCTCGCTGTTCTGAGGGTGGTAGGTGAAGGGGATTGCAAATAGGCTGGTCATAAAGGAAAGCGGGGTCTATCAGATAGCCATTAGTCCAAATGAGAATTGCACGAGAGTCTGGGGCAGCGACTGCCGGATAATCATGATGCAACTTACAAAGATAACAGTCACTAGTGTGAATATCCAGATTGCCTTGTTCAGTTGGCCAGCCGATTGCGCCTCATCCAGAGAACTTTGAGCCTGCTTGATCTGAACAAGATAGTCAAGCTGCACGCCAAGTTAGCCTCCAAGATATGTAGTTTTTTTGACATGGTAGTGGGTGGTGACGCACAGCTTGAAGTGTACGATTGGCATGTCCGTCGAGGGACTTGGTGCGTTCAATCAGGTGCCCGACGCCGCAGTCGTCGATGAAAGCCTGATTCAGCTTGGGAGCCACCTTCTTTGGCCAGAAGAGATCAGAAAACTTCTTGACGACGTTTTGCTGCGTCTCGAAGATTCGAAGAATCAGGTGTAACTCGTCACGGATGTCTTTGCATTTGCTGATCAACTTGATCTCGTCGGTGATGTCCGATGTCTTATCGACGGTGCCGTCTGGATCAATCGATTCGCTGAATTCATCGAAACGTTTGGTTTCTTCCTGGCTCTAGTGAAGGACGCGAAGTCATGTCTTGTCAGCGGTGGTTTCTAGGCTAGTGGAAATTGTGTGTTGGTTTCATGAAATACATACACATTCGGCGATGGAGCTATCGAAGATATCAAGCACATGGATACCTAGACCTGCGTATTGAAACTCTTCTAGAAAGGTCACTGACTCAAAAAGTATGTCTTCTATCAGTTCGTGTGGGTCTGTGTATGAGTGAATGCCGCCCTGGCGGATGGTGTCGAAGAGGGTGTCTTCGACACCACGGTGGTACCGATCTGGAAACGCCGTGATGATGGTGTCTGTGGAGGCAAGTCAACAACCACAGGGACGTAGCATTTATGTATACACTGAGAAGGGGGGATATAGTTACCCTTATCGAGCTTCCAGAGCCAAAGTTGATGGACCATGAGCAATCTCGCCTGCTTACTTGGATCACGAGTGCTTTCGCCGTGGTCCAGCTTCCCGCCGTCTGTTTTCTTGGATTTGAGGTTTGTAAACTTTGAGTTACAGAGGTCCCTTAGGGAAAGCGGCTCTGTTCCCTTTTGGACCCTTTCGTCTGTATGTGGGTTGAGCACAATTGGTCAGCATGCGCGACGAAGGCACTTCGTTTCGATGTCTCGTCACCGCGTTTAGGGAAACTTACGAGGGCCTTTGGCTTTTCTTCCATCTCCATGTCGCTTTGTGCCTCTTTCGGTGGCACCCTCAAGCCACTTGAGGACAACTTGATCCTCGTTGCGTTCCATGAGCTCCGAATCCGTGAGTGTGTCGTAATACGACGCATCTAGCGTCTGTGATCTGTGAAGTCCTCTCAATAGCTTGTAGGGGCGTGACATCTGGTCTAGTTCAAACTTATGTCAGAACCCAGCATTATGTTCAAAGATGATATATGCGCCAACTAGACAAGTTTGGTAATTCGCCGAGATATTACATTTAAGCTCTAACTAAGCCTATACTCCTATTGACTTACCCTAGTAGCTACCACCTAAACCTTTATATCTTTATAACTAAAACCTTCCTCCTCCTTAAGTCACTCCTATGACTTAATAACTTAAAAACCTTAATCCCCTTCCCCTAACTTCCCCGCTTTATATATATCCTATTAGCGGCTTTAATATTATAACTAGCTCTAATAAGCTATTAACCTAGCCTATATTTATTATTATTGCCTTAATAAGGCGATATTTTATAGATTTTATAAGTCCTTTAAGCTCTAATAATTCTATATATTATATAAAGTACTTAAGCTCTTAAGATACCCCTAGGCGCTCTAAAGCTATAAGAAATACCTTATAGGCTAAGATAGCTAATTTAATATATTAATTTCTTTTAAGTATTATAACGAGAGGATATTTCCTAAGGGATAAACCGGTCATACTAATTTATATTAGCACTAGATTATATTATATAACCTTAAAGGTAGCATAATATTATATCTAGTAATATACTTAAGGTATTAAGTATAACTAAGTTATATTAATAGCTAAGGTAGCTACTATAGAAGAAAGTATAAATAAATATAGTCTATATACTTAAGAGGTCTTTCCTAATTACTATCCTCGGGATATTAATTAAAGTAATTATATAAGTAATTATAAGTAATTACGAAGTAATTATTATAATTGCTTAGGTTTTAATAGTAATTATATCCTAATTAATAAGTAATAATAAGATCTTCCTTAGTTATATAATAAGTATTTTATTAGGTCGTAATATAATATCTCCCCTCTATTAGGTCTTATCCTTAAGGCCTATAAAGCTAATTACCTAACTTTTCTTAATTTATTAAAACCTTCTTCCTTAAATATTCTAATAATATTAATAGTAATATATATAATAAGTATACGCCGTATCTAAGTATACGCCGCACTTTTCCCTCCTATACTAAACTTTCTAATTAATTAATCAATTTCTATACTACGAATAATATTAGACCTAAATACTAAAGCTAGAACCCTTCTTGCCCTTTAAGCCCTTTAAAATAACCTAAAACTAAGTATCCGACGCGCCATAGGAATCTATAAGATTAATAAGCGGCGATTATATTATTGTAGATAAGGGATTTAATCGCGATATAATTAGATCCCTAAGTCACGCCGATTATCTAATCTAGAGGAATAGATTATAGTATAGTTTATTCTTAACTTAGATTTACGAGGATTTCTTCTTTAATTATATGCTATTAAAGAAATAGCTAACTAATTACTTATCGACCGCGATATATTACCTATTAGTAAGCGCTAGGCTTATAACTTTATTACGCGATATAAAGAGCTTAAGACTTATTTCTTTTATAAATATAATTACTAGAGAGCTAAGTATAAAGATCTAATTATTATTTATAAGTAGTTTTAGCTCGTAGTAAATATAATCGCGAAGTATAGTATTTAATTAGATAATATTTAAAACTTTAATAAGATTAGCTTTCTTATAGGTATAATTATAAGCGAAATAGTTATTATAGGTATAAAAAGGCATAGAAGATTAAAATTAATATAGCCTAGAAGCTAGGAATAGATTATAGTAATTTAGGCAATTAATATAAAAGGCTAAGTAATCTAGCTATTTATTATCGGTATAGGCTAATATTACCTTACTAATTAGTATTAAGAGAGTAACCTCCTAGGCGACTAAGCTATTATAATAACTTAAAATAGCTAGATTAATAATAAAATTAGTCTTAAGTAGCTTAAGTACTTCGACTAATATATAGCTAAGCGATTAAATAATTATTATTATCTTTTAATCCTTAATAGCTATAAAAGTTATTATTTTATTACCTTTAAGAGGTATTATAAGAAAAATAAGATTATTACGCTTTATATACCACCTTATTTATCTTATTTACTTTAGCCTCTCGATATTAGGTACTTTAGCTTACTTAAGAAGGCTTATAGCCGAGAAATAAAATATCTAATTAAATACTCTATAACCTATATTTCGAAGACTAAGTTTTTTCTAGCCTTTTATATCGCTTATTAAGCTATTATAATAAAAAGAAATATTAGATTAGCCTTTAGAGGAGCTAGGCTTATTCCTCTTAACCTAGAAAGTATAGTCTTAAAGCTTAATATATAGCTATAGACTCTAATACTTACTAAGGAGGTAATTAGCCTTATAAACCCTTAGGTCTTAAAGACCCTAAAGACTATACTTAAGGCCTAATCTTAGTCTAAATACCTTAATAAATAAATTAAGCGGCATTAAAGTAGCTCCTTAGAGTTAATTCTAAGAGCTCTTAAGTCCCTTATTAAGGGAATTATAGTAATAATATATAAGAATGCCTTATTAAGGGCTAAAGTCTAAGACCTTTAGTAAGTAAATAAGATACTAAGCTAGCGCTAAAGGGTAAAAAAACCTAATTATAAAAAAAAGGGGTAATAATAATAAAGGAGGGAAAGTAAATAATTAATTAGATAGATAATAATATATAGGTAATAGTAGAATTATTAAGAAATAGTAATTAAGGAAGGTTAGCGTAACTAGGGGTTCGGCGCTATAATATATACGGAAAGACCGGCTATAATATAAGGACTTATTAAGTAATAATTAAGACTTTTAGCGAAGAGTATAGTAATTAATTTTAATTAATTAATTAGTTTATTATATTTTTATTACGGTTTTTAACTTAAGGGTATAAGAAAAGTGCGGCGTATACTTAGATGCGGCGTATGCTTATTATATATATTATATTAAAAGTAAAATCCTAATTTATTATATACTATTATTAATTATTTAAACTAATTAAAGAAATAGGTTTTAAAGTTATACCTTATTTATATTATATCTAGAAGTAGCTATAATATAAGATACTTAAGGGTATATCCTATTATTTAGAGTATATTTATTAGGGTCGCGCTTATAATAGTTCGGGAGTATTAGTTTCCGCTAATAAGCGTAATTTAGCTTAATATTTTTTCTTCCTATTAACTCGTTTTAAAAGTATCCCGCCTTATAGCTAAGAAGCGTCGTTTTAAGCTTAAGGAGGAGAGGGCCGAGGAGGAATTAATTACCTTATAATAGTAGGTAAATAAGCGGCTTTCTTGCCTAATATACCTATATCGCTAAAAGAAGTAAATCTATAAGCGAGGTATAGAGATAGTATATTAGGGTCTAAACTTATTAGATAAATTAGATAAGGCCGAGAGGGTAGAGTTAGAGGCCATAGTAGCTATATAGCTCGCGGGTACTATGGATATTATTAACTAGAATGCTATTTTTATTCCTTCTTCTAATATTATTAATAGAAGTCCTTTAAAAGGTATTATATACTTGTTACGCCCCAATAGGCCTCACATCACGTGGGAACAGAGCCCTATAAATTCCCTTCTATACTAACCTATTATAAGGTTACTTACTATTCTAAATATAAGCCTTACTCTTTGGATCATAAGCCTCATAGTATAAAGAATAAGGCACCTAAACCATATAAGTATATAAGATATATTTATTATACTTCCTTATATAATAGCTACCTTAGTTATTAATATAACTTAGTTATACTTAATACCTTAAGTATATTATTAGATATAATATTATACTACCTTTTAAGGTTATATAATATTCTCCTCTATTAATATAAACTAATACGACTAGTTTATCCCTTAAGAACCCTATAATTATTATATATTAATAGCTCTTATTTAGAGGATTACTTATATTACCTTAAATAATATTAAACATAATAGCTACTTAGGCTACTTCTAATAATAACTATTAATAGGGTCTACTTATTAATTATCTACCTACCCCTATCGCACTAATTTAAATTAACCCTAATAGCAATAAAGAAATAAATAGTAATAATAAAGAAATTAAGTAACTCTATGCCTAGGTTATTATTATAATTACTAAAATAGAGGAACTTAGAGGATTTATTAACTATATAGCCGCTACTTAATAAGCTTAGAACTAATAATACTATAAGAATATCTAGAATATTAATAATATAATAATTACTACTATAAAAAGTAAAGATATTAGAGAAATCCTAAAGCTAAAATAACTAGAGAAGTTTAATAGTATTATATATAAATTATTAATATTCCTTATATAGCTACGCGCATTTATATTCTATTACCTTACTTAGTTTACTATAATATCTAATAAGGTCTAATATACCGCTAAGTATCTCACTAAGTATATTATAGCCTAGTTTAAACCTACTATAAAGGATTACCTTATTAAACTACTTACTAAATACTCGCCTTAGACTATAAACCTCTATTCTAGCTTTAAAACCTTTAAAGCTATACTCTAATAAGCTTTTAAAATAATAAATAAAAAGGCCTAAGTAAAAAGAGAAATTAAGGCATTTTAATAAACTCGCTCTATATTAAAGTATAGCACTAAGTACTTTTAGCTCGCCTTAAAGCTTAATTAAGACTAAGAACCCCTAATATCCTTTTTCTTTAATAGACTTAAGAAAAAAGTATAAGCCGAACTCTATAAAGAAGACTAGCTTAATAACCTTATCGATTATATTAGCTAAGTAATTAAGATTAATAATTAATAATTCTCTTAGAAAAAACTTTAAAACCCTTATAATAATAAAGAAAATTATTAAAAACCTTAATTTAATATTAATTAGGGGAGATCCTAATAAGCCGATATATCTTATAGAACTTATATAAGACCTATAAAACTTAAAATAACTTAATAAAAGAAATATAATTATTATAGACTTAAATATTAATATTACTATAAGATAAACTATATCGAGAAGGTCTATTATAAGAAGTAATATAATATTAAGGAAAGTTATTATTAGCTATAATAATAGTAGCTCCCTAAAGGTAAAAAATAAATAAGATTTATATAAGCTAATAATAAATTA